GTATTGCATGGCATTTTTGCGAAAGTACGGCACGTACGGCGTGTACCGGTACGGCGGCGGCATCTTTTTGGTTTTGTCGTCTTCAATGAATAACGCGTGGCGCGAGTGCACGTTGATGCGGCGCGAGATCTGCGACATGGTTTCGTCGGGGAAAAATTGGTTTTCCACCACCGTGAGCGCGTGCCGCCCGTACAATGCGCATAACTTTTGCTTGGCGGTTTGCACATCGTACACTGTGTTTTCAATCGTCACTTGCCTGGGCGTCCAGAACTACAACGCCAAAAGAAGATATTTATCAGGTCGCATATATATATATATATATATAGATGGATATTATATATATATATAGATGGATATTATATATATATATAGATGGATATTATATATATATATATATATAGGTTGTTGTGAGGAAACAAAACACGTACGGATACACCGGGGTCGACGGCATTGCGCACTTGGAGCTTGTACTTGCGCGCTTCGGCTTCTTCGGCCACGACTTTGCGCGGCGCGGTGAGTTTAAAGTACAATTGCTTGCCGTCCCGGGATATATTGACGCTCACCTAAGAAACACATCGAGTGGGTCGTTAGATACGTATATATATATAAATATTAAATATTTATTTATATATATCGTGTAGGTATGAGAAAGGGAACGAGTGCACCATTTAGTCGCAGCGTTTACTGTTGTTCAATCGTATATTATAGATCCAAGAGGAATTCAAATGCATGCAGCACATCACATTCAACATAAGTTATTGATCGTCAGGTATATATATATATACCAGCATTACATGCAAAAGCAGACAAGTGTACACTACATAGTCGACTATGTCACATCTGATGTAGCCAGTCATGTATCTATGTGGAACAATACTTCATCCCTCGATGCCGCCCGCCCGCCATCCAATCCAGCATATATATTCATTCCCCCATTTCCAAACAAAAAAGTTTCTAAAGTCATAGTGTTGTTTGCTTACCTCGAGGCCACATTTGGTCACCAGTCGCTTGAGCACGAGCACGCGGACGATCGATTGGAACTGGCTCATGGTCAGCAGCGCGTCCTTTTCATGGACGGACGACGCGCCCGTCACTTTGAGCCACTCGAGGGTAAACTGGTGGCGGGCGTGCGCGACGGTCGCTTCGTTGCTGGAACTTCCGCGGGGATACGACTCCCAGTACCTGTCCATAGCGACGTGGAACGGCAGCGTGACCTCGTTGGTCGTGGGATCATCGTCCGTGTACGGCACCGACGGCGGACCCCCCGTTCGTTTGGGTTTGCGCGTCTTCAAACCCATGAGCTTTCGAAGGCGAACAAGTAGCACAAGTGTCCACAGGTTGCGCATCATGAGAATCGTCTGGAGGGTGACCACAACCCCGGCGGCATTGACGATCCACCCGACAAACGCGGCCAGTTTCATAGCTAAATGGATGCGGCAAGGGTCGTTCAAGGGGGAGGGGGGGGCGCCTGTCGCTGCCTTGGAAAGCAACAACCGTAAGGATTGAACGGATGCACCTGTAGCGTTGGAAGGCGAGGGGAACAAGGTGGTGGTCATAGACGGCGGCGGTGGCAGTGTTTCTAACGCGTGGTTATTGGTGGTATTTTGGGATGGTTTTGCAGTGAATGCGTGGCATTCTTGCTCTACAAAGTCATGGAGCAGCCCGGTTAACGTTCTGGTCGTGACATTTGTAGCCCTGGCGCGTTCTAGTTTGGCCAAGGCGTGAGATAATCCCATCTCTACGATGGATTCATCCCACGTCGTGGCTTCAAACGAATGAGTTGCAAGCTAGAACAAAAAGTAGGTGGTTAGTATGGTCAAACTATGTGTTTGTCCCAATCGGAGTATGTGTATCTACGTACGGCTACAATGTTGACCTTGACCATGTACAGCGTCGTGGCCAGTGCCAGTTGGAGCCCCACGACCACCAGCAACACGAACGACTGAACCTTCATGAGCTTGGGGCTACACCCAAGTGCCGCCGACAAACACAGCAGGATGCCGTACACGAAACCAAACCCGATGCCACTGGCTTCGATGATTTGGATCTCCGTGTCGACGGCGACGTCGTCTGGACGCGATAAGACCACGTATAGCCCGGTGCCAGAAGAGGCCAGAAACACCAGACCCAGGACAAACAAGGCAGCGTCGAAGAAGTGCATGACGGAGCTGCTGGTTTTCCTCGTGGCTTTCTTATTGGCCGCGTCGGCGGTAGTAGATGCAGACGAAGAAGCCGGGTCGACAAATTTCAACAGCAACAGCGTCGCATATTGAATCGCGAGGAGGCTGGCGAGGGCGAGCAGCAGCTCTTCGACGACGTAGGCGGTATCGACGCTAAACTGCAAGATCGGCCGAAGACACAAGTGGAACGTGGGGTGCACGGGCAACGGGACGAACCCTGTCAAGAGGGTATCGTCCACGTCGGATGTGTTGGTGCATGTGGTTGCGATAAATTGTGTCATCCACTGGGGGGTTTCCTTGAGCGGTTCGGGGTAAAACACGGCCGAGACGTTGAAGGTTCTAGCGAGCCACGGACGCGGGTCCCATGACGACGACGCCATCAAGTTGGTTGCCGTGACGTTGGAAACGGTGTTGGTGGTGATGATGGTTTGGGGAAACCACGCATCGAATCGAGCTTGGAGGAATAGCACAAACGCCTTATCCGCTTCGGCTTGGATAAAGCTGGTGACGGCGTGGGGGGTGTCTATCGTAGACGCATTCCGGGGAAACAGAATCGACCTGCCTTGGATAGTCATCGAGTGGTTGGTGGATGTTTCGTGAATGGCGAGGGCGTTGTGAATGTCCGCTTGAAAGAACTCGAGGCCCAACACCCCCAATCCCAGCAGCGCCAAGAAACAAATGATCCCGGCATCATAAGCCCGCAAGTACGACCAACTCTGCGACGTTGCCCCTTTCCACCCAAGGTACGGCGTGATGCCAAGCAGTCCCACCAGCGAATAACTCACAGCTAACACTGGCGCGTTCAAGAACATGCCGTACTCTGTCGCAGTCTTGGTATACGTGATAGCCCCGGCAAGGCCCAAAAGCAACACCAACGACAGACCGTTCGTCCGTCGAAGAAACGTCATGAACACGGCGATGAAGGGCGACACGGGCTTTGGGAGGTTGTTTCGAGGGTGTTTTGCTGCGAGATGGGCCAGGTACGAGATCTCTTTCTCTTGGATGTGGTACGTGGACTCCACCATGTTCTTGAGCTAATGTATACATCCATCCATCTGTGAGTCGGACATTCAGGTTGATGCGCCATGAATACTGGATCGCACCTCGTCATGCATGATCTTGGCGCTATTGGGAAATGCCATGACAAAGTAGAACTGCCATGGCTTTTGCACCGATCGCTGCATTAACCTGCCGTTCTTGGTGACCTTTCGAGGTTGCTCGACAAAGATAATAGTTGCTGGCCAATGAAAACGCTGTGTGTCGAGTCCGGATAATGCCATTTTTCCGGATATTGTATGTCGAAGGTTAACTTGCATCAACAAGACCATGGCGATTGTGCAGGTCAAGGTCCTGTACTTTGCGGCGGCGCGGGAGATGGTTGGACGTCGGGAAGAGATGTTGGAATTGAGCAAAACCATCAATGAAGATGCACATGTGACGACGGATACGCTTCGACAAGCGTTGTGTGCCAAATACCCTCGCGCAGCGCAATTCTTGAAGGACATCACACTTGCGGTGAATTTGGAGTATGTCCTTGAGGGCGACGTGAGAGACCTTGCTCACGGCGACGAAGTGGCGTTGATTCCTCCTATTTCTGGGGGTTAAAGGGGGCACAACGATGTGCTTTTATCGCAGAAACGACGACGGTGACAATGAAAACCATAGTTCCGATATGGAATAATGATGATATGGTATTGCAAAACGGCAAACGGCCTTGTGACATGGAGCACGATGTATCGAAGGCAACTTTGGTTCAGCGCTAACGCTTGGATTGAGAAATCAGCTACGACGAGTCAACAGGTTACAGTAGTTCGAACCAAGGCGGACTGGATGGTACCTTGTTTTCGAGGTTGCGAATCGACGTCCGATAGTTGGTGAGCAGCTGGTCCTTTAACTGAAGTTGCTTTCGTTGGGCATCTTGAGCAGCTTGCTGGTGCTGCAATTGGGTTTCGGTTATGACTTGGCGGTGTTTCAACTGATCGAGCGATCTCTTGAGCTGTGCGTCCCTACAATGGTTTGTAAACGATTTCAACACCGGACTCGATCTACTCGAGACGACATTGCGCCATTTCCATCGCAAGTTGTTCGTTTCTTCTGAGTGATTCCTGAAGACGTTCTTGTAGTTCTTGTTTGTCCTTTTGCCACTGCATCGCGTCGTCCTCAATGTGAGCGCTTGCCGAGTCCCCGGCTGATGGGGCGACGCCTGCCGTCTCGGATTCGACCACTTTCGCCATGACTTCCTTATGATATTGCAGCAATTGGTCCCGCATGTCATCAAGTTTTGCTAGGGCGCTCGTCCGCAAGCGCTCAAAGTCGTCGGCGGCGGCTTGGGACTCGTCCATTGTTGCCGTCGGGAGCGAATTTTGAAATCACGCGCGAAACTATTTCATTTCTGCGAATTATCCGGATGATCGGCCAGAAGTTGATTTCATTTATTCCCTGGTGATGCACATGTACGATAACCCCTGCCGATGCTTAATTGGACCTCTGAACGCCATCGACAGTCACAGCCGTACGTCGAATGACCATGTGTCCACCCTGCTGACGCCGTCGCCACAGCCCTCAACATCGCAGCGACGACCAAGTCGCCCCGATTGTGAGGGCGGTGATGGCGGCATCAGCAGGGTAAATGAATTAGTGAGCACCACGTACCACGTCACAGTTAGCTCATGGTAGATTTCTTGATACTTTGCACATTTCAAAGCTGTGAAATTTATCTGAACTATGTGGCTTTGATGGATGCAAGGATAATTCGTCATGTTTAGCAATTCAAAACACAACTACATGTAGTTACTAAGGTATTTGAATTGAAGGCTAGCGTAGTACTAACGGCAGAGGAGCTACATATCTAAACCATAGATTACTTATTCGTCGTGGGGGGTGCGCCTGTTGTGCTTGACCGTGGCATTTAAGGCATCCGCACGAAGTCTGGCTGCGTGGAGAAGCGGAGGGTGCTGGTCTCGAAGGGTGGCGTCGGCAGCGAGCGCCGCTTGGGTGGCTGTCCATGCATGTTGATCCGAAATTTGATCCAGAAAGGTACTTAACATTGCACCAGGGGGTTTTAAAGTTGGCGACATTCCCGGCGGAGAGTAGTTCGTGTCATGTGACTCCGAGGACGACTCCGATTCACTCAGATCGGTCGTGTGAGCTGTTGAGATTGAGTCTGATGGGGCCAGAGTCGAGCGTCGTTGGAGGTCCAGCGCCAAGATTGACCACGGAAAGTGTGACGTTATCTCGTGGATGTTGAGTTCGGTGAGCCCAGCTTGGTACGAATCGACGGGTACAGGCTCAGTTTGGTGTTCGAGTTGAAAGGCGTATAATGCGCACAACGCATGGCCACCATACCATCGAGTGACGTAGCCCAAGCTTTGGAGGCACGTGTGTAGCACTTGAACGACGGCGTCGTAGTATGGCAGCACGTGCTCTGGGTTCCATGACTTGGTCATGTGTGGGATTTGCCGGGTAACGTGGAAGCAATCGTTCTCGTCCCGGCAATGTGCAACAACAGTATCCAGGTCGTATACACAGTGGACAGACATGGAGTGCAAGCAGTCTTGCGCTGCAAGTGCCACCGATGGATGGGAGCAATCTCGGACGCTGAAGGGAGCCAAGAGCGTCGCGACACTTCGAAACGAACGAGCGCAACGCTGTGAGCAACATTGAGCCATGCGGTAGATAGCACCAACGACAAGTGTGGCCAGTTTGATCGGTGGATCCTGCCTCAGCATTGGCACCACGGATTCAAGCACAATGCAACGCAGGATCTGCAACGATTCTTCCTTGTTTGTTGATGACATGCTTGACATGATGCTTCCCACATGATCAAGTGCCAATTTGCACTCCATGGCTGATTCGTAGCTGCCTTCCTGAACATGCTGCTGGAGTGATTCTTGCAGTACGCTGGCCCATCGTTGCATGTCGATGGTCGTTTTCTTTTTCATAGTAAAGTAACAGTAAGCGTAGATGGTGAATATTATCCGGTATCCGGATAAATTGTGTGTGTGAAGCGACACCAAAGTTGACACCAACGGCAAACTCATGCATAGCCACCATGCCGCCGACGGTGAATCGTTGCATGCCTTGCAATTGAATCGGCAAATGAACCGTCAAGAAGAATCCGACAGCCATTTCGATGGTGGTCGTTCTTGCCATCCACCTACGCCCAAGAAGCCGACAAAAGGACCGCTTCAACTCGACGACCTCATCCAAGTGGCAAAAAAGTTGGAGATGCACAAGCAGGCTAACGAGGATGCGTTGTCTTCAGGCGGGAGCACATCATCGTCCCCACTCTCGTCCATAGCGCAAAGCGCATTCCTTTCCGATGATGAAGCGCGCGACTACGATTCAGAAGTCTCCTCGTTATGGGATGGTAGCAGATCGTCGTCTCATGTGATGTCGGGGACGTCCCTTGCTACCGAATCCATCTACTATGAAAATTTCGACAGTAGTGACGGCAAGTCTTCAGCCGCATCCATCTCCACGATCACATCGTCCATCTCGTCACCGTCGGATATGTCATGCTATGACGTGTCGGATGGTACGATGAGTAACTTGACATCCGCTGTGCTCGGGATTTTTTCGACAGACCCGCGGCTTCCCAAGCGTCAAAGATCAAGCTTATCGTCGTTTCGTTGCTGCTTCCATTCCAGTCCATCAGCTTCCGACGACAGCAGCGACGATTCGACCACGCGCACCCAACGTCGACGCTGCATTCCGTTCCACCAACTCGTCCAAGCCAAGGATTTCCAGCGTCGAGCATCAAGTCAAGACAAGTTGCTGCCACTCAGTAGCACCACTTCGTGGCTCTCTCAGGTTTCCTTCGAGTCCCACCCTTCGCCACCAAAACCCAAACTGATCAACAACGACGAGGATGCCACGGATACGGTGTTGCTCCCATCCGCGTCACTCACCACTCGTCCATGTTCTAAACTTCCACCACCACCAGTCACAACACGTACACCTGGCAACTCGCGTTCGCATATTATTACCACATATTGCATCCCAGGAACGGCAGCCACGTCTTCGTCCACGACAGAATGGTACATGTCGTACTCGGCATCCACGCTTTCAGTCATCATGAACGCGTACGTTCCAAAGTATGCAGCGATTGTCGACGTGGGCTGTGGTGCATCGGCCCTTTGCCGTGAACTCGTTTGGACTGGCTACAGCAATGTGACAGGCATAGACACCTGCGCCTCGTCCATCGCCACACAACAGATTCACGGCGCGCTGCTCGAGTCGTTTCTGCAGTTTCGGCAAGTTGACGCACGGGACCTCGACAGAACGTTTGGAGTGCATTCCGTCGACTGTATTGTAGCCAAAGCCACATTCGATCTTGTGTCTTCTTCTGACCGCCTCGATATGCTCACTGCATGCGTTGCCAGTCTTCGCCCAGGTGGAGTTCTGCTTTGGGTTTCGTGCCAAGTAGAAGAGAGCCATGACAACTCGTCGTGTTGGTGGCTCAATCTGCCCATCAGCTCGCTCTTAAACATGCACTTGGATCACTTGTGCACGGAACCTGTCGGCCCCCTCGTGGGCCCCCCCACCGGCCACGCCCCCGCGTTTACCGCAAAGGTATTTCGAATCAAGGAATCGCCGACACAACGCTCCAAACGGTGTCGATTTGATGAGACTCAGCTCGTCGAACGTCAAGTTGGCTGGCACTGCGTGGTCTATCGCAAGCAACTTCAACGTCTGGACGATGAATTCGACGCTTTGATTGCTCGAGAAGGGCACCAACTGCTCTCTGAAGATTGGTGTGCCCATGTACTTCGTCAAACGAGCTACGACGACCAGAACACCACCCTCATTGACGCATACACTATCGTGGTTGAAGAGGAGATGCGAGTGGACGCGTGCCATGCCATGGCATGCCAAGACATCGAAGCGCACGACTTGCATGTCGTCTGGTGTGTTCTCGATGCAGTCCAAGGCATCGTCTGTGCTCTACACGTAGCGCATGCAGCAGCTCAAGCTGTGCTGGTACAAGAACGAACGGATATCGTTGCGCAGCAAGTTTTGCAGTTGGTGGGCCTCGCCGTATCGACATCGGAAACTGCACGAGAAATGACCCAGGCCACATGGGCGTTCGTGTCAGGTATCGTCCATGACGTCCTCGACAACGTGGTCGGTAATCACACGACCACATCAAGTGACCAAAATGCATCCCCCCAGACAGCGTCAGACCAAATGGAAGCCGACGACATAATGGATCAGCTCCCTGAACTGTCTAGCCAAGACGCTGACATCAACGAAGTCATTGCATTAAAGAAAGTGTCCAAGGACACTGCCAGGGTTGTTCATACTGATGGTACCCGAACTTCGGTGGCCATTGAGACAAATGATGACATCAACAACCAAGTTCATGCCGCCATATTGGAACTGGTAGCGCAAGTCACCGCAACTACAACCACGACGTCGCTTACCCAATCCCCATCCGCATTTGAAACATGTCGGAATGACTTGGCATGTCATGTTACATCGACGGCACGGTCAAACGGTGAGGAGGAAACCATTGCGTTGGTGGTGCAAGCTGTGATGGAAGCGCTCATTCAAGCCACCGACCAACAAGGCCCGGAGGAAAGTCAATATTGACGACAGAGATGTGCGTCAAAGTATTAATAGATTAAGGGTAAAAATAATATAGCTGGTCTTGGCGTCCTTTGGCACAAGGTTCAAGGGTTGGGTCAGAGAAAAGGGGCGTGCCGCTTGTTCTGTTGGGCGGCGCCACGGTCAAGCACAAGTTGGACATATTTTGAGGCTGGATCCGCGTGTGCCCTATATACGACGGCTCCATGACCCAGTGCTGATGGGATTCGTTCGCGGCGCAGCCGAACGCGTGGACGATTGGTGCTCTCAACCACTTGTGGGTCCATGCTTTCAAACACTTTCCTTCCACGACGTGTTGCAGCATGTTGCGATCGTCAGCCTCGTGGGCACGGAAGACCCGCCACGACTGGCGACTTTGTTTCACATTCTTCTTTTCTGGGGCCACGGCTTTGACGTAGCCATCCACCAAACTCAGGCGAAACGTTGACGTGGCAGCATCTCGTCCGATGGAATATGTTCCGGAGATCCATCCCAGAGCTCGGTGGACTTTTTGGCTGGGCGAAGAAGGATCCATGGGCGATGGTGAGGCGATGACATCGTGGAAGGCGATGGCGCTGACGAGCAAGAGAAGCCACCAGGTGTCGCAAGGCATGTTGTGGGCGACACAAGTGTCCAAGCAAGATATTAGTGTGGCACAAGTTTGCAGGCACTTGACCAACTCAAGAGACATATGATTCAAGTGCGATGCGGATCAGAGAACGATCCGGATGGTCGTGAATGAACTCGTAAACACCGTTGACACTCAAAAACAGGGAGGGTTAACCATGATGGATGGGGTGGAAATGCTTGTAGTATGACAGACAGTGTCGTCGTGGATAGGGAAACACCATTCACGAAGACTCGCGGGAATTCGGATGTACCGATGCAGCCCTTGAGCACATTTGTTTGGGTGCACTGTCGAGCCAGTCGCCAATGTGAACTGCATATCAGCACTCGCCAAAGTGTCTTAGATATTTGGTTGTTCCCTTGCCGTGATTGCCGAATGCAGTGTAAACCAAAACAGCACATTCCAGCTTGGGGTTACTGGTGATGCTACACTGCACTTAACCCCGGGAGTGTGTACTGTAGCAACACATAGGGAAATGATTACGTAAGCAACGATGGAACTGTTGCGCTTATGACTGACTGTATTCAAGGTTTGGGCGACGATTGTTGGACCATGGCAAGGTAGTTCTATCCAGAATCAAAAAGCAGACCTACTAGAGGCCAGGGTAGTCACCAGTACTTCGCACAACCAGAACAACAGCAGTCCTCCAATGCTGTATTCGCTCCGCTACATAACGTTAGCCCCATAACTTGGCTTGACCTCCATTCGTTTCTTTTGACCGTGTATTTACAGTTAAAATAACGTTATTTTGATTTTGTACTACAGTGGTACGTATGAGACTACACTGTACGTTTACTTCAATTTATGGTTTTTACTTGTTGCACCCAAATATCCGGATACCGAGGGCCGGTTTCAATCATTGACAGTAAAAACATTGAATCACTACAAACATCAAGATAATTTATATGCAATGCGTTGGGCTTATCCGGATGTGCACCGTCGTCTTCCGCAACGTCCCCGCTCTATTCTGCTTTCTCTGAACTGACCACCTGGAACATGACTGGCGTGCAAGAAGGGGACCTGGCGTCGCCGAGCGTCCTGCGCGTGGGTCTTGAGATCGAAAACATTGGCGAACGTGTGCCGTCCTCCAAGAAGCGCTTCAGCTGGCGCTTTGTCTTTGCCGACTCGGAGGAAGTCCACACAGTTACGCTGGAACACTCGCGCGTGTCGTCGAAAAAGCGTGTGAAACTGGATGGGAAGCGCATTGGTGCCTCCGAGAGCTACACGGCGGGGCCATGGACCTTCGAATTCAGCGTCCCGTGCTATCCGACCGTGCCGTTCCAAGTCGTGATCAAAGATTTGCCGTCGTTGGGGTTGCTGGAACGCGCTCGAGCAAACTTGAACCCAGACATCTTGTACTCGTTTTGGGCACACGGTAAAAATTGGGAGGCATTGACAGACCGACCTACAAAGTACGAGAGCGCGGGGTTTGCGAATCGATGGAGCAGCATGTCGTACTGTCGCCGCGTGCAGTTCACCGTAGACAGCAATCAGCAAAAGGACGTGCGTGTGTCGTGGTTGTTTACGTTTGGCCAAGACGGCGACGTACATCAGCTGTTGCTGGAAGATTGCGCGGACGGGAGTAAGATCCTCGTGCTGGATCGCATGAGTCTGCGTCACGACCAGCCGACGGACTCGGCGCTGACGTTGGACCTCGTAGACGAGATCAATCAGGACGGGTGGGTCGCGCAGCATGCGATCGGCGACACCGAACATGAGATGATGGTGCGTGTGTTGCACGACGCGCCTTCCCTCGAAGCCAAGTACGTGCTGCACATCAATGGCTGTCCGTGGGCCGACATGGCCGCGACAGACTACGTGTTGCAGCCTGGGTACTACCCCGTCCACTCGAAATCCGCGGGGAAGGTGTACTACCGAGATGAAGTGAACAAGGTGACGGTGTGGGAGAAGCCCATCATGCCTCGGTCGACCAGCATCGTCGATGCACCCACAATACCCACGGACTCGAACGAGGAGGCGCCGGCCAAGTGCGTGGACCTCGACGAGCTGCTGGTCCAACCCATGGCGGACCTGATGAACTTTTCGGACGACGGCGACCACCAAGACGATGGGGCGACTTCTGGCTCGAGCGGTAGCAGCAGTCCCAAGGACCCGACAACCTCCGAGACCACTCCAGCCGTAGCAGCAGTCGACTTGTTGGCCTAGGCGATGTATTTATAAGTGTGCCACAATAGTCGTCGCCGTTATTATTCCACCATGTGTTGACGGTTTCACATTTTGACGATGGCCGACGAGAACTTGGATGTCTGGTATCGCACGATCACCGCCGCGGTGCAGCTCGCCGTGGCTCGAAGTATGGGCCAACATGACGACGTTCTCGTGCCTTCTGGTAGCTCCACCACCCTATACCGTGACAAGGTGTACACTGTATCGCTGGTTGAAGTCGGTGGAAGAAGCACCGCTCGAGGGACCGTCGATGGGAATCCCTTCGACACTGATGCATGCGATATAGGTTATGAACCGGCACAACAACGTCGCAGGTAGTAAGTCACCACGACGATGGCGATATGCACCCAGGAGAATGTTCACACACTAATAATGCATGTACAAGTACGTAATGACGTTGTTTGGCGGTGTTTAACTTTGTGCGATACAGTGTGGTCGAGGATTATTATCCGGCCAAGTTGGCAATGAGGTCCTTGAGCGGCTCTTGCTCGCGCACGTCGACGAGGTCGAACTCTGTGACAAAGTAGATAAAGTGCTTGAAACACGAATTCAAGTGCGCTTCCGCGCCGAGGTTGACGATCTTGTCAAAGTGCGAGTAGTACACGTGTGCATACACTCGAAAGAGGCGGCGAAAGATGTTCTTGACGGCCGCGATAAACCCGCGGGGGTACGGCGTCTCTGTCGCATATCAAGCTCAGGACGACTCAGAGAACGAGGGTTGTATACCTTCGTTGCACGGGAACAGCGTTTGGTCGTTCAGCTGCTCTTCTACCCAACTCATGAGCATGTCAATGTAGTCGGGGGCCGGCAGTTTCGCAGGTGTCTTGTACTCTTTCGAGTCTTTCCACAGGTATTCAAACCTAACGCAAACGAATGGTTGAGATGTACTGTGTAGTATCGAGGGGGTGGTATGTACTTTGGACCGGCACACATGATCGGACACGATTCCTTGTTGCAAAATTCGAGCACGGTCCCATATACGATGCTGATTTCGTTGAAAAAGTCCACCGCTGTCCGAATGAATGGGTTACATCACGCGATTCGGTGGAAACGTTTGTACAACGTACTGTTGACAGCGAGCCATTCGTTCACGTCTTCGTTGTCGGGCAGCTTGACTGCTGCACGCATGTCCCCTCTGCCACATTGTGAGCCCAACATCATTCGATATCAAGCATGTATGTAGTAGGTAGGTGGTACCCACCCGCCCAGTGTCGCCTTGGCGCGTTTGTGCAGGTCATGGCGCTTCGTGCCTTTGTTGTACGTCTTCTTTGGACGGAACGTCTTGTTGCGCTGGAAGATGTTCATGCGTCGTCGAGGGGGTGGGTGGGTGGATTGCCAAGTGAGGTTTTTAGGTGTGGTGGGCGTACGGCCGTTACAGAATCCGCCAATGAAACCGCCATTCAACACGAAGAATTCATTTTCATTGGTTGAAATTATTTATACACTACTGCATCCCATTGGTTCCAATTGGTTCCAATTAGCCAATCCGACGGCGCCTCTGGTTTTAGAGATTCGACACTTTCGGCGGCGGGTCCATGCTCAAGCCGAGCTCGGCGATGGCAATCTCACGCACTACGACGACGACGACGACGGTTATGAGGAAGGAAGAAGACAAAGGAAACGAATGAACGATTGGGGGAGCAGTAGACGTACTCTTGAACTTCTGGATCTTGCCCGTGATGGTGGTGGGAAAGTCGTGGCGGAACACAAAGTACGCCGGGATCTTGAAGTGCGCGAGGTTAGCCCGCACGTGTTCCCGCAGCACATCGTCCATCTTGTCTACCGCAGCGTCATCTCGAAGACTCACCCAGGCGCAAATGACTTCGCCATATTCCCAGTCCGGCACGCCCACGACACTCACGTTCGCAACCGCGTCGTGCGCAAACAACACCTCTTCGATTTCCGCGGGGTAAATGTTCTCGCCACCCCGAATGATCACATCCTTGGACCGACCCACCACGCGACAGAACCCTCGGTCGTCCATCACGACAATGTCCCCGGTGTGCATCCATCCGTCCACAATCGCCTTGCGCGTTTGATCTGGCTGGTTCCAGTACTCTACCGATCTAAGCTCAATCGAATGATGACTCTCCGTCGGTCACGTACCTTTCATCACGCAATACCCCTTGGTCAGCAACTCGCCTACACGCGGGGGGTTCAGATAATAGATGAAATAAATAACAAAAGCCTTCAATAAGGACTCGATAGGAGGATTCAGATAATAGATGAAATAAATATTTAACGCCTTCAATAAGAGATAAATAACAAAAGCCTTCAATAAAGACTCGGTATAAATGATACACCGACCTGGTTTCCCTACATCGACTTCGACGTCGGGGTTTTCCATGTCCACAACCTTGGCTTGGGTAAACGGCATGAGCGTCCCGATCGTTTCGACGCGGTCCACGAGTGCATCGTCGCGCGCCGTTTGAAAGCTAATGGGGCTTGTCTACCCCACAACACAAATATATATATATAACCATATCGAGAATATTGCAAATATATACTAATAGTATGTTGTTTGGCCTGTACCTCGGTCATGCCGTACGCAATGGTCATTTCCGGCGCGAACGCCATCACTTTGGCCATCACGTCCACGGGGCACTGCGCCCCCGCCATGATGCCTGTCCGCAGCGACGCCATCTTGCGCACGTCGAACGTTGAATCGTTGAGCATGCGGATAAACATGGTTGGCACGCCATACAGCGCCGTGCATTGCTCGGCCTCGACCGCGCGCAACGCTTTGGTCGCGTGGAAGCTCTTGGACGGATAAACGACTGTGGCGGCATGCGCCAGGCACGCCAAGTTGCCCAGCACGACGCCAAAGCAGTGGTACAGCGGCACGGGTACGCACACGCGGTCCGCGGGGCTGTAGCCGCAGCGGTGCCCGACGAGGTACCCGTTGTTGACGAGGTTGTGGTGGGTCAATGCGGCGCCCTTGGGAGACCCGGTCGTGCCGGACGTGAACTGGATGTTCACGACTTGGTCTGGCGTGACGCTGGTCGAGCATTCCAAGAACGAGTGGTCGGCTGGGGTACTGGCGACCAGCGCGTCCAAGCCAACCATGCCTGGCTCGGTGTGGCCATGGCGATCGTGGATGATGTGGCGAAGATGGGGAAGCTCTGGAAGGTTCAACGGCGCGAGGATGTCGTGGTTTGGATGATGGTGGCTGGCTTTTAACGTGGGTACAAGTGTGTGCAGCATGTCGAAATAGTGCGTGGATTGTACTTGGGGGGTCACCAGCACTGCCTATACAAGCGCAATCATGTAAAGCCATGCTCCAGTGGATGGAAAGGTTGGTGCTGCCTGCATGCGTACTTTGCATTGCACGAGATTCATGGCGAATTCAAACTCGTGCGCACGGTACGCTGGGTTCACGTTGACCATGATCACCCCCAGCTTGGCCGTGGCCCATTGCACTATACTCCAGCGGTTAGTTCAAGGTTTCATGTATGGACGACGAAGAGAGGGTGCGTACATAGGTAGTAGTCGGCCGTGTTGGGCAGCCAAATCCCAAATCGGTCGCCGCGGCGGAGGCCGAGCCAATGCAGGGCCTGGGCATACCGGTTGACTTTGTCATGTACTTGTGCATACGTCATTCGAACGCCTTCCTCGACAGCCACCAATGCCAACTGGTCAGGGTGCTTTGCAGCCACGGAGTCCAACATGTCTCCGATGGTACAGTCCAGCAGCGCAGGGTGTTGAGGTCCCGAGAACGTGACAAAGCTCCGGAGCATGCATGCCCACTGACGAGTGCTTGGCGTCCCTGGCAATGGAGCGTTGAGATACCGGGACTGCTTGATGGAAGGTAGCAGTGGTCTCGCGCGCACAGCTCGAAGCAACATGGTTGTTGATGGTGGTAGAATGGGCAATGGTTCTCGCAAGCAGTGCACGTTGGGTCGGAAGGTGCTGCCATGGCGATGATGATGACATTTGAGTAAACGTTATGTCGGGTACAGTGCATACAATCCTCTAATTATTTCACAAATACCGGGTGTTAGATGTCTAATGTCCGTCCGATACACGCTGCAAACCGTGGGATTTCCCAAATTCCATGTTGAAGTTGTTGGATCGCATTGTTCCAAGCACAACCCATTGCTGAGTTACCCGGTATATAGTTGCATGACAACATGCCTGGGACATCAAGTGTATGAATGTCCTCGATGGATGTGGACATCCCGTCATGCACAACGAGGACAAAAGCGCATGCTTTGTGGAGGATGGAGTAGTCCTGCAGGTGGTGTGCTCATACACGACGAAACAAACGCTACGACAGATGCGAACGGCCTTATAGTTTAGGCATCCATGCGAATGAGCTCGCTGGTTTCACGCTGAATGAGGCGAACCATGCCTAGGTCGATGCTCATATTCGTTATTGAACGCACGAATATGTCAGACGAATGCTGAACGCAAGGACTTGCCTACAGCGTACTGTACATCGACTAGAGGAGTATAATCCACGTACATGTGATTCATGTTCATGAGGACAGCTCGGCCTGCAGCGACATCCTGATGCAATGGAGGACAGTCGACGTGCAGTGGTCCGAGCTCTGTAGCGCGAGGGAGCACATATATGACCAATGAAACCGCCATGTGCGATTGTTCCTATCCTAGGCCACGCGGAATAGAGTTCTTCATGCGAGTTCCGTCGAGGCGGCGGCGGTCACATCGCGCCGGCGCGGCCTTGTGTCGCACGTTGTATGTAACAACCCGCATGGCGTAATTTAATATCAATAGGTGTAAGATCATAGAGAATTTGTATTTAAGAAAGTGTATTTTTATAATCTTATGAGAAATGGACAATCAACATTATTTCAATTGTATTTCGTCCTCTTGGACGACCTCACAACGCGGTTTGTCCGATGGACGGAGGTCGTACAATTTAGAAGCGAGGTCGTCCAATTATTCGATACAATTATCAAGTCTGGTGCAGAAGCTGTTTGACCTGTAAAGGTCGTGCAATTTGGAAAAGTGGCAGGGGTGGGGGTTCAAGTATTAAGTTGAAGAGGAAGGTGATATGGAAACCTTCTAGAAGCAATAAAACCCTCGAAAGGGATCTGCAGTCAGTTTGAAATTTACCATGGCCGATCAACTTACCGAAGAACAAATCGCTGAATTCAAGGAAGCCTTCTCCTTGTTCGACAAGGACGGCGATGGAACCATCACGACCAAGGAACTCGGCACGGTGATGCGCTCGTTGGGCCAAAACCCCACGGAAGCCGAACTCCAAGACATGATCAACGAAGTCGACGCTGACGGCAACGGCACGATCGATTTCCCCGAATTCTTGACCATGATGGCCCGCAAGATGAAGGACACTGACTCGGAAGAAGAAATCCTGGAAGCGTTCAAGGTGTTCGACAAGGACGGCAACGGCTTCATCTCCGCCGCCGAATTGCGCCACATCATGACCAACTTGGGCGAGAAGTTGACCGACGAAGAAGTGGACGAAATGATCCGTGAAGCCGATATCGATGGCGATGGACAAATCAACTACGAAGAATTCGTCAAGATGATGATGTCCAAGTAAATTTCGACCCGACTGTCGTCGTAGCAATTTATTAAAACATTAAAGTAGTATAAAACAAATCATTTTTGAGACTTTAGTGTGGAGCTTTCAAGCAGACAGGTCCTAAACGACACCATTGAAATGCCTTTACCAAGCAAAGGCTCCATTTACATATAATTCTTTGCCTTGTTCTGGATAATGGCATCATTCCGCGTAAAGTACTGCATCTACGTCCATTTGACTGTGCATGCATGCTCATTGACAGCACAGCAACACAGTACCCCTCATGTATATCTACATCTGGCCGTGCATTACTCCAGAGTATTGTAGTCTACGCGGGTGCTGTGACCTCTTCCTTGACGACTTCTTCGACTTTCACGTCGGCCTTGATCACTTGTGCTTCCGACACTTGCAGGACAACCAACGTGAAGCGCGTGTACTGGGCGATGATCATTTCATGGAGTTTCGTCCGCAAACGAAGGCACTCGATGTCGCATTCGCTCGCGTCAAACAGCTTGCTCAAGTGTTTCTTGGATCGCGCGTACAAGTTCAGGATGTGGTACGCGTGCATGACGGCGCTCTTGTACTCCATGTTCTCATACTTGATTACGATGCCGTCATTGTTCATGACGATGTACGAGAAGAAGCCGGGCTTGGCCTTGAGCGCCTTGATCGTCTCCTCCACTTCGTTCGGCGCGTTGTTGGCCATTTTCAATCTTGAACAGTCGCTGACGTTGTTGGGAGTATTCGGATACCATGGAGGATGGATTATCCGGACACACATTGCTTGAAACTGGTGGCGACATGTCGAGCAGTACGAATCGGCGCCTCGCCGCGTGGAGTGGCCAAGGATACCTTCCATTGAACACGATTCACGACTTGAGCTCCAAGGATGCATCAAGATGCAGTCGCTTATCCAATGGCACGTCACGGCTGCTTTGTTTGTCGCTGTGCGTCGACAAAGAAGATGCAATCCTCGAACCAGCACTGAATGTGCCTCCATGGATGTTGTCCGCCCTGAACGTTGGCAACGGTGGATCCGTCACTTGCGAATCGATCGACGATTCGTCACTGAGCTCCATCAGCCATCTGGAAGTTGAACTGGTGTCTCCATTTCCTCGAATCCTGGTGCAGAGCAAGAAGCGAACGGCCGTGCCGCAGGTTGTTCGCGACCGCAAGCTCAACTTTGACAAAGCCGTCCTTCGACAACTGACCCATGCCGCGCCAGACCACTTGTTTTCCATCGCAATCATGGGGCAATTGTACATTGGGCGCGTCGTGGCAGCTCTCGACGATTCCCGCCAGCCCCTGCCGATCGGAGCCATCACACCGTCCACCACCGTGTTCCACCACATCGACGCTCCATCCTCCTCTTCTTCGTCGTCTTTGACGTCTACCCTCGATTGGAAGGCAGCATGGGACGCGTTCCCGTGGCACGAACGCATGCTGCAGGCCGGTCTTGCCGGATACGATCACCTCGTGGACCAGCTCGTGTTGCATATCCGGCTGGCCTTGTCCCAGGACCACCCTGCCATCACGGCGCGCGGGATCCTAGTGCAAGGCGTGGGTGGCGTCGGCAAGTCGCTCCTTCTGCAAGCGCTGCGGCAACAATTGACCGACTTGCATGTTCCCGTGGTGCTGACCGACGGCCATACCCTTCGCCTCGAAGCAGACATGAGCACCGCGTTTCCATCGCCTTCGGCCTTCTTGGCGCACCACCTCCGCCTCTTGGACGACGACGCGGCTGGTTGTGGCGTGTTTCTCGTCGACAACGTCGACGCGCTGGTCGAAGACGACGGACACCTCACACCACTAGGGCGGAGTTTGCTGCAGGTGCTGGACACGTGGACAGAGCGTGGCCGGGCGTTGGCAATCGTTGCGACATCGTCCATGAAACCGCTGCCGACGTCCATGACGCGCACGGGTCGACTGGAGCGCCTGTATCGCATGGAAGTGCCGACGGAAGCCATGCGATTGGCCATTGCCGACCGATTCCTGGCCGACACGGCGCTCGCGGCGGCGCTGGCTGGCGCCACGGGCGGATATGTAGGCAAGGACTTGTGCAAGATCGTGCGGCATGCCACTGCCATGGCCAAGTTGAACCACCTCAACGCCCCCACGTGGTTGGATCTGTTAAAGGTACAATATACATACATGTACCGCCACTTTTTGAACGAGTTCATGAGCATATCCAGGCCCAAGGGAATACGCCGCCGTCGCAATTGCAAGACTTGAATGTCCAACGTCCACATGTGGAGACATCGTGGGATGAATTCGCCGGCTACGATGCCCTAAAAAGTCGCCTTGTGGAGCTACTGTCGTACCGGTTTGACCAAAAAGGGATGTTTGAGGTACGGAATGATCAAAGAGGGTGTATCTAAAGTATTGTGTGCTTTCGAGTGAAATGTTGTGTTGTGGTTTCTCGTTGGAATTTAAATCGATTTGATTGGCTACCTCAGATGAGCTCAAAATTATTAGCCAATCAAAACCACCTTCTCAATGAAATTCAACCAATCAGATCGATTGTGGATATCAAATCGACAATAACCCGCTTGTACATTTGTACTTGCGACGATGAGGTAGCGATTGGGAGTGCAAAGTGTGTCGGGCATATTGCTGTACGGACCGTCAGGATGCGGGAAAACGATGCTCGTGCGCGGGTTGGCGGCAGTCTCCAACGCCAACTTTGTGCAAGTGCAGGTACATATATGATATGATGACGCGGGCGTAATCACGTTCGAAACATGAATGTATGTCCTTTGTAGTCGTCCAAGCTCGTGTCCAAGTACTTTGGGGAAACGGAAAAGTCGATCCGAGATCTGTTTGGTAACTGTTGTTCCCGTCGCCATGTTTCGTGTGTATTCGTAGCATACTGTACTTCACGTATCATGTCGTCATGTAGCTCGCGCCCGGTCGTCTGCGCCATGCATTCTGTTCTTTGATGAGGTACTTACTACATACTCGAAAAGGCACGAACGACGCTGACATTGGACGTAGCTGGACTCGATTGCTGCGAAAAGAGGGTTTTCTAGTATGATTGACGACCTATACACACTGTTTTGCCGTTTTTGTACTTGACGGTCTCGGTGATAGGCGACGGCAACGACGCGGGGGGCAGTTCCGGCGTGTACGCGCGAGTTCTGTCGACGCTGTTGAATGAAATGGACGGCGTTGGCGGGTACAGCTAGCCTCTTGTCCCTTTAAAAAACATCTTCACGCTCAACTATGATACTGACCACATCCATCACTAGCCAAGGGGACATTGTGGTCGTGGCAGCTACCAATCGCGCCGACTCGCTGGACGCGGTAACCCTTTGAGTTCGTTCGTTGGCCCTGACGATGTGTGATGGATGTGTAGGCACTTGTGCGGCCAGGACGCATGGACCAGATGCTGGAAGTGGGGTACCCGTCGCCGGCGGACAGACTCGCCATCTTTCGCCAGTACACAAAGGCGATGCCGCTGGCCGCCGACGTCGATTTGGCGGCTGTTTCGGCCTCGATGCATGACGACGCTACCGTCACAGGAGCTATGATCCACGCCATTTGCAAAGACGCGGCGCTTCGAGCGCTGCGGGAGAGCGAGGCGGGGACGAGCGTGGCGCAGCGGCACTTTAGCCAGGCCGCCGTGTCGGCTCCGTCGAGGAGATAATCATGGACGAGTTGTTGGTCATTTTGATGGCGGCTGTGAGGAGTTGTTGTTGTTGGCGCTTGGCCTCTATGGGCATCTTGGGCGACGGTCGCTTTCGCTTGGAAGGTTGTGGGGGCGTCGAGCGCTGGGTGTGGTTGTGCCGAGTCGCGGGGAGTAAGAAGCTCACGGGGTTGACAGGAAGCAAGAATGGATGGACTAGCGCCTTTGAAAACCCAATGAATCGTTCAAGACGGAGCAGGATGTACATCTATATCAAACCTGCGCAGCAGTGAGGCGGAGGTCTGGTTCCACGACAAAACACGTGTGCAGGAACGACGCGACGTCGGCGTGGGCGACACGGAACCGCTTGAGGATGGCGTCGAGGGAGATGGGTTTCACTTCCACTTGGCGGCGGAAGGCCATGTATTCGCGATGGAACATGCCACTGGCCAACGTCTACGCCCATGTAGCAACCACGTGAGATGGAGAAGCATGCAAACGCCGCCACATTACGAGTGGAACGACTTGGTCGATCTGGGTGAGCAGATGCGCGCGCGACCGAGCTGCAAACACGGGTTGTCCGATCAGCCCTTCCAAGACGATGCACCCAAGGGACCACATGTCGGCGGCAGTCGACAAGGACGATCCGATGGCCACTTCTGGGGCGCGATAGAGCATCGCTTGGACATCGAAGCCATGCGCTGAGATCTGGTTCGTGGCCTCGTCGAGGTAGATGGAGTTTCCAAAATCCACGAGCTTCACTCCGCCGTCAACGACAGAATTGTCGCTCAAGATGTTGTCGGGCTTGAGATCGCCATGAATGATACCCTACGATCATCGTTGTGGAATGTTAGAATGCAGGGCATAACTGCGTATTGGTGGTGGTCGCACCGCGTTGTGAACAAAGGCGAGGGCCGCACATGTATGAAACGCCTACCATGCCGTTTAATGTCCATCGTACATCATGAAGCAATGATACCATCAGCCGCAATTTGTGTAGGGACATCTGAGGGCGTGAGATGCAGTCAATGTCAGCGTCGAGGGCCATTTCCGCGGCAGGCAAGTATCGACCATCGGGCATGTCTTTGGTCGAGTGGAGATGGATGGGCGCGTCCAAGAGTTCCATCACGATGCACAAGCGTTCGTGATAGTAGAAGGATCCAACCAACTGAACTATCGGTAGTCCCAAGCGTGGCCCATGGGTCGACACCAGCTCCAAGATGTCGACCTCCCGTTCCCCAGCCGCCGACAGCGATTCGTTCCAAATCTTGATGGCGACGTTCTTCTTTGTGAAGGTATCAAGGGCAAGGATGACGATGCTGGATGTACCGCTTCCTAGATCGCGGCGGTAGAGGAATCGGTTTTCCATCAAGGTCACTCCATGGATCAGTCCCAAGGCCGACGACAACGATGACGGCGCCATGATGGCGGCACGTGAAATTTCTAAATGCGCGCGAAGTTTTAGAATATTTTATTTAATTACATAGTGTGTGCAAGTGAAGCCAAATATTGTCGACATTTCTCATTTTCGATAATTCGCCGTAGGGCCTTTCTTCTTGGGGGGCTTGACACTGGCCGTCTGGCACGCCACGAGCGCTTCGCAGGCGGCGATGGCAGCGTCGGCGGCTTGCTGCTGATGGACTTGTTGACGAAGGAAGTGGACTTCGGCCTGCAGCTGTGCATTGTCCTGCTGCGATTGATGCAGGGCCATTCGAAGCCGAGCCAGTTCTTCTTCGTAGGCTTCGATCGAAGGGGACATGACGGACTCGCTGAGTCGTGGAAGAAGTGGTGCCGTTGCAGCAACCGCATGCTGTCCACGAAGGAATGTGGTCAACCCATGATGCATGGGTTGTTCGGGGTCGAATAGTGGAGACGAGCTCGACGTATATCCAGACGGCACAAACGCGGGCTGCGGAACGACGTAGGACGCACGGACAGTGGGAGGTTTTTGAAGCGGCTTGGCGGGCGCGATGGGTGTCATTCGATTCGTGGCCTTTGAAGGCGATGTCGGCGACTTGGACGGTTTGTGGCGCTTAGTATCTGTCGTCTGGTGGATGCTTCCAAGCTTTAGGAACTTGAGGCAGTGATCAATGTGCCGCATGAGGGACATTCCGTACTCGGCAATCCACCTCGGACCCATACCGCACGTCTGATCCAGTTCCTGCAGGTTTATTGGCGCCAAGTTGGCAATTTGGGCAAGGACTTGCGTCGACAGGATGTCCCATGGCCCGACGCCCTCTTCCTGCACAGTCTTGTTGCGCCATGCTTGGAGGTAGACGAACAATCTCCTCCTTAGTTCGTCGTTCAGGCCATGGGTAGCGGAAGGGCCGGATGGACTCGACCGCTTGAGTAGCCTCGACTCTGACTTGTGCTGCAGGTCGATGATGCGATGGTGGAGGGTCGATTCGTTCAGAAACTCGTCCTCCGTCCGCGCCATAAGCAACAAACACTCTTCAAGCCGGATGGACATGCCGGGAAGCTTGGCGATCACGACGTCGGGGGCGTTGGGCTTCATCTGACGCAGGACATTCATGATCTTGTACTGGATGTTCAGGCGCGCTTCCTTCGCCAGCCTCGCCCGCCAAGCGCCGCTTGGACTGTTCGAGCTCATTAAACGAGTCGCCAGAGTAGGGTTAGATGCAGATGACGACGATGGAAGATGTTGTGATCCCATGCTTGGTGCCAGCGCAACTTGCGTCGTCATCACGGGAGATCTTGCCAACAAGCCCTCGTCAGCTGATCTCCAATTAGTGTGAACTAAGGGTGATTGGCTGATGAATACAACTGATATTGCATTCCACCAATCAAAGAATTATATAATAGAGAGGTAGGTTAAAACACGAATAGAGACTTGTGATTGGTGTATGACTATTGTGACTAGGGCGAATCGTCAACAATTCGCCTTGTGACAACCCCGCGTCACTGTGGGTGTTCTAGTAGTACTATACGATCCCATAGTATTTTCAAGTTAGACACATCCAGCTACTACAGTGTCACGGCCGACGCGTCACCGTGCGTTCGTACTGTAGTAGTATACTATTAATAGTATATAACAGTTGTAGGTGATTAGTATTACTACGTAGTGCTTGCTACTAATGTCAAACTGCTTTTGAAAAATGGGAATTTACTGTTATTATTTAATGTTAAATGGTGTACTCCTTGGATCGTGGTGACGGTGGGACGGCGACGCCAGTGGAGGACGGATCTTGGTCGCCGCTCTCTCTCTGAATGTATGGGACGTCGTCAGGCTGAGTGGACTCGCGCCTCTCGGGCGTTTGCATGCGCATGCTTTCCATCTCAACGACCACGGCAGTCCCTTTCTTCGGGGAGGTTGGGTCGGCGGCTGCCGACTTTTTCTTGGCTTTCCGGCTCATGAGGAATGCTCGTATGGACACAGCAATGGAGCACTAGGGGTGACGAATGCAATCAAAGTCATGGTGGGGTGGATACACGGACGTAAGTACCATCGCCGCCACGCCACCCCCAACTGTCACGAGCCACTTCCAGATGGGCGTACCCACACACTCTGGAGGTCCAATCCAATCCGACGCACAGACACAAACGCCATCTAGAGCATCCATCAGCTTCCATGTTCATTTTGCACGAAATGCTTCTTTGCGCACCAATGACGCTTCCGCGCGCCAAGTTGCACGTCACTGCAGCATTGGGCAATGTTGGAGCTCCCGCGGTCGCTGTGCCAGGAGTCGGAGGAGATGGACCTGGCCCGCCGCACGTTGAGCCGTCTATGCCACTGATAACCTATTGGGCAACCTTGAGTAATGGCAAACCTGGAGTACGGGGCTCCAAGGACGAACCGTGATGGGGTATTCCACGGACACGGAATTGCATGTGTCGGTGCCGAATCCGCGAAAGTAGAGCATACCGGCGTATTGCGGGCAGATGAGGAAGATGCTGCCGTCTTTCTTTATGGCTTGGGACGACGCCAGCACGGGAATACCGCTTTTCGCCTGGTTGGGAGCGAAGGACACAAACGTCACTTGGTCTGCCTTGTCCTACTTGATCTGCAAGAAGGACCCGGTCGTGGCCGTCGTCGTGGGACCATTGAACACGGTCCCTGCCACGGGCAACACTGTTGGGGATCCGATGTCCTTGTTGAAACAATGGAAGCAGCAGTAGTTTTGAGCAATGCATTGCTTGAAGTCCATCGAGTTGTACACAAAGTCGGGCACGTTGTTCAAGCACTTGGCGCAGCAATCTTCGGCTTTGGCATACTGCTGCAGCAAGAGCATCATGGAGGTGAACACGAGTCGTCTCAGCATCGCGGACGAAGCTAGCAACGCAGCTGCTGCCATGATGTCGACGCTCGATGTTGTCCAGATCTAACCTTCATCATATCCACGCTCTTGTTCGATTTTATTATTTCAGTCGAAAAAATCTATTGCTCACTTGCCATTGATTGGCCAAAACTGGTGTGCTCATGTCAATTATATTTGGCAGCTTTGCCACGAATATATTTATAATCAAATTCGCGCCCGTTGGTAGTGCCATAACCCACCCTCTCCTCAGCACCCCATTTCCTCTCGGCGTCAGCAACCCAGTCCCGCCCAAGAGAGACGTGCACAACTGCAGCCAATTCGGCCACATCTCCAACCTCGAAAAAAGAACTATTGCAAAAAATACCAGTCAATATTTGTCACCGCACCACGACGCTGGCGGGCGACTGGACAGCAACGTTGCCGGCAACTCAAGGATGGAGGAAACGATCCTTGCTCGTGATTGGTGGAACGATAACTGTTACTACCTATGTCCGAAAGTACTACTTCGTAGTAGTAAAAAGATACACTAACTTACATTAACGTAAAAAACCAGTAGAATGCCCGATATCAGAGAATGGCCCGAAACACTTTTCATGAAGAAACATATCTACAGTTAATCTGTTAAATATTGATTCCTTTCACTGTCAATGCCATTTGCAAAATCACAAGATTATGGTAACGTTACAGTAGTGTGATTTTGCAAATGACAATATGCTTGAGAAAATTTTCAAAATCTAACAAGGAAAACGTTTATTAATTGTAAAGAATTGAAGCTGTAACGTTAAGTTAGATGGCTTGGACTGCTGAAGGCCCACCTTGCCTTACTTCAAATTCCCCAATTGCAAAAGCACCTTCCACAAGTAGTTCCCTGTGAAAGCTACCTGAGAATTACACTTGGATATTGACATTTGCAAAATCACCCTAGTAACGCCATCGATGACGAAGTTTCGCAACTCATCTTTACATTACCCTACGCCCCCAGTTTGTTTTCAATTAAAACGGCGAGCCTCTCCTAAAAGTAAATAACGGGCGACTGACTGTGAGACAGCGAGACCAACTGGGCAAGTTCCCGTCCATACGAGCCCTCTACCGCAACAGTCGTCACCAGTAGCCGTCACCTTATGTTAGTGTGATTCGTGAACTTTGTGATCTGGACTGTCGTGAGCGTCAGAGCCCGTCACAATGGAAATCTCGTACAACCGATTTGACCTCCTACTAACGTTACACCATTTTTCCACTAAGTTCAGGTTATTTACGGTATATTTCGTCCGACGCACAACTAATTCACGCTATGTGCGTTATTATGTTCGCTGCACATTCGATATATTTCGCCTAACGTCGGTATATTTCGCCACACCACCGGTATATTTCACACGTTATTCAATGATATTAGATGCAAATCTGCTTCATGAGGCGCTAACTTCCATGTCACCCACATTTTCAACAAAACCGCAGAACAACTTGACCTACAAGGTGTAAGGTTGTAGATGATTGACGTCCACTCATATCTCTGCCTTTGACAGCTCAAAACGCTTTCCACCACTCATGAATTACTCGATTTGCATCTAAAATCGAAATAGGTGGAATATCCTTTAAAATATATTAAACGAACGAGTGAAATACAAGTACATATACAGGAAATACACTGCAACGATGTAGGGTCTGGACGAAATATATCAAATGATCGGCGAACATAGCGCACATGGCGTGTGCGTCAGACGAAATATACGGTAAATAATCTGAACTTAATTGAGAAATGGTGTAATTAGTATTTTTAATAACATTAATAACAAAGCGATGAAGTCCCAGCTGGAGTTTTCGAAACGTTTTTCGGACTTTTGTAACCGCCAACTGGAAGATCTGGTAAGTTAACTGCTGAGGGTAGAATTCACTTCAATCGTGGGGGGGACAAATCTTGACTGTCATGCAAATAACGTTATTAACCTTATTGTGAACAAAGAAGAGCAACATGCTCGAACGACGAATGTGGGCCCTGTATGTGATCAATGGAGAAGGCACAGGCTGCGCCATTTACAAAGCCCCTAGTACCGGTAATCGTCAGTGGTACTGTTTCGTTACTCCGGAGTATTCAAGCAAATGAAAAGTACTTGAGTATAGGGGCTGGGCGGGGTTCAGTAGAACAATGACGTTTGGAACCTCATACTACGAATAATCATCCAGATAACGTTATACCCAACATCCCCTTGCATCCATTGTCCCAGTTTATCCCATTTGAACATATCTTCACTTCACTATCAACCTGGTTTGTCCCAGTGGATGCAGCACTCTGAAAGTTGTAATGATGTTTGGAATCCCTTGCTTCGTAAAAAAAGGAGGAGATGGTGCAGAATATAGTCGGAATACTGGAACGTACTGTTCCATTATGTAGGCATCTGCATGCATCCCTCATACTTCTCATCCGATCGGCTCGGTCATTAATTGATGAACTGATTGTGATCCTCCAAGCAACCGCGAGTACAGGACTTGCTTTCAAATACTGGTAGTACTAGCTAGTATTACGTAAAGGTGAAACGACCCTCGTATTTGTATCGCGGGAAGAACACATTCCATTCAAAACACAAGCTTAATTCAATTGCTTTTGAGACACCATAGGTGGATATGACCAATCATGCTTGAATATTCAATTACTATGAACCAATCCTAGACCTTTCTTAGGTTTCGAAAGAATGTTCTATTTAAATATATATCCCAATGTATGCATACAATTGCGCAGATCATAATACTGTGGTCGTAGCAAATGTGGCGACCCCAAGTTCGAATGCGTTGGTCACAGTTGTAACCTCAGCGGCAATATATTTATTTAAATAAATATGTTGCCGCTGCAATGCTACTCGGATACACTTGGCAAATGTATTCTGACGTGTCCAGAGAAATACGGTTGAGAAAAAACCAGGGCAAGCAAGATAAAATTCGTTACATGTGTGGAAGCAAAGGCTTGGTATCATCCGTATTCACAGTCAGTTTTGGACCATGTTTCTCGTTCGGTGGGTTGTTGCGGGTCTGGCCGCCGCGTCCGTGACTACCGCGGATGTGTGTTGTGGTCAATGCCTCAACACATTCGCCCAAACAATATACGATCCATCCGTGTGGGCGGAATGCTCCACAGCCCCCAAGCCCAACCCTGGGTGCTGTTTTTGTGATCAGGTCCAGACCATCTCCCAGCCAGCGTACAAGTTGACCATGAAGGCCGGCACCACGCAATTCCTTACGTTTCCTGGCGCCGAAAAGGTCACGTACTCCGTCGTAGTCGACCCGACCAAGGCATTCCAGCATCCCAAACCCAGCGGAACTCAATTCACCAAGAACAATGCAGGCAACTACGTTGTATGCATCGACACCCCTGGCAAACTCCTCTTCCGTGGATGGGGAAAGGAAGTTAACAACTACCCGACTGAGTGCACGCAGATGACATCGGAGTTGTCCATCACGGTCACAGAGGGCGACAAGGGGGTGACCTGCGCTGGATCGACGCCGGACCAAGGTGGCGTATCGCCCAGTCCCACCGGCGCCGACGGGAAGGAAGTACAATGTAACCTCCAACGTGGCAGCGTCATCGGTGGCGTGTGCGTATGTGCGTCGGACTACTCGGGCGCCCCTGAATGTACTGGGTCGTCGTCGTGGAAGTGGATTGTGTCCATCTGTGGTGGTATCGCAGCACTGGTATGATGTTCCCGTGTTCTGGATGTTGCTTTTATGATTCGACATGCATTCATTCCTCGTTTCTTTTAATGAATGTAGCTCTCAATTGGCATTTCCGTGCGCCAAATCCTTTTGTTCCGTAAAAAGAAGGCCGAGGACAAAGAGCGGGAAGACGCGATGACCAAGATGGAGTCCGTCGAAGTCATGAACGTGTCGCGAGAACCAAACTACTTTGACGCAGATCAGGCCGGGGCCAAAGCGCCGCCGTCGCGCCGAAGTCCCGTTCCCAACAACCCCCGCAAGCCAGACGCTCTGCAGCCGTACCCCGTCGCACGTGGCGGCCACGCCAACATGTCGCCCCGACAAAGCCGTGAATACACTTTGTAATAGATTCGTAGTACAAATGCTGCATTCCCCCTAATAATCTTAACCCGAACACCGTCGGAACTCATATATTACGTGGCTTGACGGCGTTGCAGTAAAGCCGCCCGGCCCACTTGGAGTCGACAGGCAATGTAAGTGCCTACACAATCCCGTGGTGCTGATTAACAGTGGGCGGATCCATCGAGGGGTCCTGGACTTGTAACGTCCGATATACTTGTCCAAATTGATCCGGGAAAAGTGTGTTGAAATCGTACTCTCAGAACGCATAAACTGTGAAAAACGCATTTACTATCTCAAAACTGTCGCTCAGTAAGCAAAGAAAAACTATGCCATAGGGAAGGTGAAAAAACGTGTTGTATTTATAACCTGCTATTATTTATAAATACAAGTAGATAGTGATACAAATTTCAACTACAAAGAAATTGCAAAACATTATCAGTTCCGGATAATATCCGGTAGGACCCTTCGATAGCTCCGCCCACTGTAAATACTTTGAAGTATTAGTAACGTTAATAATATTATTGTGAATTCGCTATAAACAAACATCAACAAAATTCGCGCGGTTTGTCTAAGCAATATTAATTCGCTATAAACAAACATCAGGATTAGCCAATAATAGTGTCGATTCGTGCGTCGATTCGGTGGCGAGATTCGATTCGCCAGGGTGTGGAAATTTCTCTATAAACTTCCAAAATTCGTGTGTGCTTATCTATTCAAGCTGGAGTTCTGATTGGTTGAATATATTTGCCCACTTCTGTTCGAGCCAATCAAGTCCACTCAAAGTTGGATTAATTAGCCAATAATAGTGTCGATTCCGCAGCGAGATTCGATTCGACTTGGTCTGGAAATTTGTACCGAATTATAATTGGATTCGGTACAAATTTCCAGAATGCAGTAATAATTACTGCATTGCAACTACAATCCGTGACTCTGTACAAAGCGTGCCACGTCCCAACGACACACATGCAACCAAACGCGTTGAATATATACAGTACTATCGTCATTACTCTCCATTAAATAACTGGTCTAGGCCACCTTGGCCTTGCCAGTCGTCTTGGATGAAGCTGCGTTCGTCTTCTTCGCCCCCACCGTGTTGTACTTGACGAGGCCGAGCTTGGTGAAGATGTCGCTCCACTGGGACGTCCCTGCCAACACCTTGGCATGTTGCGCATCGCGGAAAGCGCCGTCCGTGCCAAACACATAATCCCACACGGTGAAGAAGGATGCATAGTTGACGTCAAACTTTTCGTGGTGGTAGTCGTGATGGACAGCGCCGCCCCAGAACGGCAGGAACCGCGTGGGGGACCACGGCAGCTCGTAGCCACAGTGCGAGTCCACGGACTGGATGACGCGGACGCACATCCACACCCACAGCGTGAGGAGGTGCCGCGTGAGGAGGAACGGGCCGAGGAAGGTGCCGATGCCCAAAATCAGCGTCTCCGCAGGGTGCGCGTACTCGGCGGTGATGCCAAACGGAGCGGCGTACTCGTGGTGCACTTTGTGGATGTACTTGTAGATGCGCTTCCAGTGCAACAATCGGTGCGCCCAGTAGTTGTAAAAGTCTTCGAGCACGGCCGACACGAGCACTTGCCACACGATCGTGGTAAGCGACGGCAGCGGCGCTTCCATGCCGAACCCAAGCATCTTGAGCGAGTTGTCGCTGGAGACCATCATGGGCAGCTGCACAAACACGTGGTTGAACGCGAGCAGCTTGAGGCACTTGTACGTGCCAGGCCAAGTGTTGTCTTGCTTGGGCTGGATCTTGTACTTGTGGAAGATGGGGAAGAAGTCGAGGAGCAGGTACGGCACCCACGTGCCAAAATAGCAGATCTGGTGCAACGCAAACGTCAGACCCGTGTTGATTGTGAACGATGAGTAGTTGTCGAGCATGTACTGCCAGTACGGCAACAAGAACTCGAGGCGGTCGATGCGACCCAGCGCTTCTTCCCAGGACACACGGGCGCCAGCATCCGCAGTCTGGTTAAGCGCGGCGGACACAGCAGCAACGGCAGCAGCCAGCACCACGAGGCCACCAGCGACAGTCAGAACGCGGCTCATGATGTCGAATAGCGAAGTGAGCGTAAACGTGTCTTTTTCATCCACGGAAGTTGCATGTAATCACTCTGATTGCCTGGTGCGCCGGCTATGTAATAGCGGGGCGCCATACCTTTCAGTCAAAATATATCCAATCAAATCGCACCAATGCCGGAGCGCCAGCGACTTTCCTTTCACAATTCGTATGCATTATCAAAGGTTTTTTTGTAATCGACATGTTTACATTTGCACCATCGTTGCAATCGGGATGATGACCATTGCTCAAGATTTGTCACACCAACACCCCTTGGAGCCATGGACGTCGTGAATGCCACGTTGCTGGAGCATGGCATCAGCTTGGCGGTGCTGGAATCCACCTTCCATGACCTCAACTCCCTCGCGTTCCTCGAGCCGTACTGGCAGCACATGATCACAAGCTACTCGCCGTTCACGATCGTGTCCGTGTTCACGTTTGTCCTCCACGAAGCGCTCTACTTTAGCATTTGGCTGCCTTACCTGGCGCTGGACTTCGTCCCGTACTTCCGCAAGTACAAAATCCAAGAGGCCAAGCCCAATACGTGGGCGGAAACATGGCGTTGCTTCAAGCACTTGGTCTTCAGCCACGTCGTGGTGCAACTGCCCATGATTCTATCCAGCGACTGGGGACTGCGCCAGCTCGGGTTCACCTTTGAGCTCCCCCTTCCGACCGCGTAAGTAAACCCCTTCTTCTTCACGACATCTTCTTACGTTCGTGGGATACGCGTGTAGCTCAACCATTGCGTGGCAATGCCTCGTGAGTTTCATCTTGGAGGACTTTTACTTTTACTGGGTCCACCGCCTTATGCATCACAAGAGCGTCTACAAATACGTGCACAAAGGTACAATATAAATATACTACATATTTAGCGGTGAATGGAATCTCATGGATTATGTACTACAATGGTTAGTCCACCACGAATATGCCGCGCCCTTTGGCATCGCGGCCGAGTACGCGCACCCGATCGAGACAATGCTGCTGGGCGTCGGCACGTTCCTCGGGCCGCTCCTTCTCACCCGCCACCTCCTCACTTTGTGGGTGTGGCTCGCGGTCCGCCTCTTCGAAACCATCGACGACCACTCGGGCTACGAACTTCCGTGGGCATGGTCCAACTTTTTGCCGTTCTGGGCCGGTCCCGTTCATCATGACTTCCACCACGAAAAGTTTGACGGCAACTACGCTTCCGTGTTCACTGTGTGGGACTACGTGTTTGGCACGGATGGCGCGTTCCGCCAGTCGCAAGCCGACCGCCGCGCCTCGGGCAAGTCCTCGTGGGCTGACATATTTGACCTGGTGACGCCCACCGCTCCGTCGTCGAAATCCACATCCGCGGCAAAGAAACCCAAGGCCAAACTCGCCTAGACCATCATACCTACTACTACGTAGTAACGTTATTTCCATTCTAGTATCTAGTTACGATTTTAAACTTGTGCAAGAGGTGGTGTGTTTCTGTACCTGGTATTATACTATTATTAATATTAATATTATAATAATTCCCTCATACAGTTCCACTGTTGTATTGTGAGTTCACTATAAACTTCCAAAATTCGCTTGGTTTGTCGATGACACCGGAGAGTTCTGATTGGTTGAATATACTTGTCTTTTCTGTAAGAGCGAATCAAATCCACTAAAAAATGGATTAGCCAATAGCGTCGATTCGTGATTCGATTCGGCGGCGAGATTCGATTCGACAGGGTCTGGAAATTCGTATCGAATCCACAATATTGACCCGAAATACTGTTTCACAGTCGTCAACGAGGGAATTATTACATCCGGATACACCTTTTCGCCAGTAACGTTAGCACTGTAACCTGGGACTCCGTCCTACCCCCAGTGAGTACGTACGATGCTAAATCTCCGGGGTTAACTGCATCGCTAGTGGTTAGCTATCGCTAACGACTGAGATGCACTTACACCTAGTAAGAGGTGAGGACGTTTGAGTATACAAAGTTCCTTATAAACCTCATTGAAACAGTATTTCGGGTAACAACAGTGGCCTGTTTTACAGTTAATGTGGAAATTGTACTGGTTCTACTATTAATAGTACTACTTGAAGTATTACTCTTATTAGTATTGTGCTTTTCACAACTTTTGGCTATTCTGGGACTAAAACCCCTCTTTTAAACATGGACACGTAGTATTACGTTGAGTCCAGCTTCGTTTTAGTAAAACAAAGCACCAAACGTACCACTCTTTTTAGTAATTCCATGCTCTAATTAGAGGTGATTTTATGGATCGTATGGGTTTGCTTCAGTTTGATTGGACGCCAAAGGAATTTTTGGCTGGTTTTCCCAGCAAGGTTTGCTTAACAGGGGTGTTTGCCCATGAAATTTCGGCAAACGCGGTGTTTTAGTGCCCATGAAATTTCGGCAAACGCGGTGTTTTAGTGCAATGCTAAGCTAGGCCATGCGATGGCGGCGCTGTACTCCACTGTCTGGTGACACGAAGTGGCGGGCAACCCTTCCATGCCATTGCACCTATAATTACTAAAACAACGTGTATTATTTCGCCCAATGACAGAACCTTCGATTTGCTTCGTTTTAGAGCAAGTGCAACCTTTCTTTATATAAAACGTTCAATCGTTAAAGCTGCTAAAACCACTGGCAGAAATGTTGAAAAGCACAATACAGTAGTGTGTACACTACCTATCAATAGTATTACTAGCATGTACTGCCGTAGAAATAGTCGTAGTACTACTTACTATTAATACTATACCTACTATTATATTCCGATACGAAGTACTAGTATATCAGTATAACCGGAGTAACAGTACTTCGTATTAATAGTAGTACTAACGTTTGGTATTTTGTACTATTAATAGTACTACCGGTACAGTAATACACAGTAACGATGTATCATGGCAATCTTGCCCTTTACCAAAATACCGGTAGTACTACTGTAGTAGGGAGAACGCAAAGCTTACAGTACAATCGTGCGAATGATTTGGACAAGGGTCACCTGAATACAGTAATAGCGTGCCTGCAGTAGTGACAACGGTACTGTATATGTATGTTATACATATAGTATTGGATTATGCTCGCTGTACCCTGTAACCGTCCACAACGTTGCGACCGACAAGCAAACGTCTCGTTTTTGGGTGGTGAATATGTGTGATGTTGAATGTTTGGCTACATGCTGCGTCCAAGGTTTGCTAGAATCTGCGCATGTTCGTGTTCCGGGCTGAGTGCGGCGGGGACTTGTACGACAGGCGGCGGGGAGGTTTGTCGTTTACGAGATGGCGGCGCTAAAGTACTTTCGATTGAGGACGACCCTCGGGAGGAATAACAACTTGCACTGCCGCTGGTTGTCTGCGCCAAGTCATTGGACGAGACGCGCCTTCGCTTCCGAAGCACGTGTGGCTGAGGTTGCCTTGGTTGCGTGTCCACCAGGAGCACGCAATGCTGGTGATGGGGGCAGAATGGCGTGTTCCCGGTGGCAGATGCGCCACACGACGGCGCAAAGCAGCGCAGGCGGCCGTTTGGGAGGACTGGCGGGAGTTGCGTCATCATCATGAGTGAACTCTCGTCATCGAGACGTTTAGCTGGCCTTATCATCATCGCTGCGGGTTGTTGGATAGCTGTTATCGTCGGTGGCAACATCCCATGGGGTGGTGGCGTGAACGCAGGTCGCGATGGCGACGGAGGGAGCAGCGGGGACGACGACGACGACGAGGTCGTGGCCATACTCGCAGCTGCACTGGCAGTGTCAGCGGCGGCCGCCTTGGCGTGGACGAGGCAGAGCCCGTCAATCTTGCCGTAGCTGCGGCAGTGGGCGTTCCGGCAGAGCACCATGTGGCCGAGCGAGTGAAAAGTTAGTCAGTGGCGGACGTCTACCTGCCTCCTTCTGTGGAATCCGTCAAGTAGATCCCATATGCTGAAGTTACCAATTCGATGTGCAGACCGCAGACTAAAATCATCTGAGCACAGGCGCCCCGGTATGTGCACCCCAATAAATGGACCAATCATTGGCCGTATTTCGCCAGATTGTGTTGAAATTGCGGGGCGCGTGGTTCTGGTGGACCGCCTGGGTTCGAGTGGCCTTCGTTGGGTGCGCGCAGCTGTCGAGGTCCAACATCAGTGGTGTCGACTATGTAGCGGAAGTACCCTAACGTGTACTGATAGTGTACGTACGTACTATGTAGGTAGCCCTTTACTACAATCTTCATGAAAGCCAAAACGATTCACAAGCTACCTACTGCATTGGGTCGTGTTGGCGTTGGCACTTGAAAGCAAAGCACAGCGATGTCGAGGACTCGTCGTCTCTAGGGCAGTCAAAGACAAGGCAGTGGACGACGTGCCATTTGTAACAAGTGTGAGGAGACAACTGTGACACTGAATACTTCAGGATAAGATACACCCCACCCAATAATGAGACGAAAACTTGTACTTGGTCGACATCTTTAGCGATAGATACAATGGCCTAGTAACTCATTGGGTACCCTACGTATAATCGCCCCCCCATCGTTTGTCCAGGTTTGAGGGTTTAGCCCGCGTCGGAACAAATTGTGTGGAATCGCCACGTATTATATCTCATAGAACGCGCGACGACAGAAGGTCGTGCTGTCTTTACTTGTGCCGCAACTCATGCAAAACTCAACCCCAGAGGAATTGCACGGCTGTGACGAGTCCCTTCTCCAACCATACAATTTCGTGGATGTCCTCGCGTTGTCCATCGCGACCAGTTACCATCATAAGCATTGTAACGTCACTCCGAGGAGCGTTAAAATATCTATTTTGTCGACTATCACTAAAGCTTATGTGGATCTCACATTTCGCCAAGCCAGTAGTACTAAGGTGAGTATTGGCTTGGCGAATTGTGAGATCCTCATAAGCTTACAGTAACGATATAAGAGCATTAGGAGTTGTGTCGTTGAAATTGCACTACGACTTTACCTTGCGATTGGACCTCACTCGATCCTTGGTAGTCAGTCACCTTTGAATCGATTTTATCTCAGTCTTGAGTTCATTTTATCATAAATTGTATATCAAGACTTAACACTCCTTTGTTCCCAGCCGTCCAATTCACACCATGTTGAAGCAGTTTCCATCATGAAACTCAAATCGTGGCATACGATTGGTGGACCTGAGTTTTCATCATCCAATCAACGCTGGCTATTTTCGATCATACGCGATTCCACCGTCACGAAATTGCACAGTGAACGAGGACAAGAGTGTAGCTATGTATTTGGATCTTTATAATGCAAGCTGCACACATCCCCAGACTTGACGGGCTTCTGACAGCTCGGAGCTCGACATCGCTTGCCTACAATACGCAATTACTTCCATCCCTCCCTAGCTACAACGAGCACCAACCTCCTCCGTGGGCCCAGCAAAACCCGCCCTTGAGCGCCCCTTTCTCGCAGCCTTCCTGGCCACACGTTTTGCTCCCACCTAGAAGCATTGTCGTTACACAGCACATTGAGGGCAAGGCCATCACCCACCATGCGCCCAACACAGCCCCAAGCTTTTGGCAAACTTCCCACAGCCGCCAGGATGCTTGCATTTCTTACGACCGCCATGGAGGTGGCATAGCCCGTACATTTTGGCACCGTTCTTGCAGCCAGTCACTTTGCATCGGCATCCGCCTCCATGGGATATACATCGACCCTTGCTCACCTACGCAACGTGCATGGTAAGTGCGCTACCACGACACGTCAAGTCTCGAAGGTTGTTGTACCGCCTTGTTGGGGCACGTTTTGATCGAGCACGAGAGCCCCCGCTTTTGGAATGCGCTGTCATCTGTGTCGTCGCTATTCACGAACTCGTCCACGTTGTCCTCGTATGATGGGAACGTATGATTGTCGTTATGATTGTCGTTATAAGAAGGTCTTGCAAGCAAGTCTTCTTGCTTGAACTTGTTTTCGTCACAAGAGGGCTCGTCTTCGTCGCTGCAAGAGTTCGGGGCGTGGGTGGACGATGGATTAAGTAGATCTACAATGGACATGCTTGTGCCCGACTCGCTTGTTGACCTTGCTCGAGGTGGCAACGACGTTTGTGGGGGATGCTGTGAGCGATGCCGCGTCGTTGAGACGATGGGTGGTGGCCGCACTGCATCGTCCTGGCCAAGCGCTTCCTGTGGCGCCGACATATGCAGGCTACTGGTGCAATCACAGGGGGATATGGAGCTGGCGAGGCGTTGAGGAGGCGAAAGGGCAGCCACAAGTCTGGCTCAGTTGGTTGTGTGTCTTAGTTGCTTTTCGTGTGCAATTCCACTGACAAGGTATACACCGCCGATGTCAAAACCAGGGACAATATGGACAACTTTGTGACAAAAGCAGGGACGCATGCGTGATACACTGAATTAATTTGAAATTTCACTCCTCATGACTTGTGTAATGTATTGGAATTGATTCATTTCTTTTTAATTGTAGCACTCGGCAAGGGCCACTTCAACGTGATACAGGCCGCGTCCCTTTTTGTCGTCGTGGCCTAGCGTTTGCCAGGTTGAACCAGCATCCCAGACGATCTTGACCGGAAAAGATCCCGTTGAGTAGCGGTCGACGGCGTGGCGGCATCGACCACCACGCCACACCGCCTTATAATGTATCTACATTCCCCAGTCCAATGTCTTTTTAAACTCTTCTTCGGTGAATGCAATGTTCTTGGCCGCCTACATATCGATGAGCGAGGTGCGAGTGTACTCGTGTGTGGTGTGCGTACTTCCAAATGGAGTTTCTGGCGCTTGAGGATGTCAATAAGCTTAGCCTGTTTCTTGTACAAAGTCACCAATTCCATCTATGCCATGTGAGATGTCACGTGGTTGGTGCTGTGACAGACGAACCTTTTGCTTCTCCAACGTTGCCACCTCCTTGCCCACGCGCTCAAAGTCCACACGGGGCACCGCAGCGCCGCCTTTTTGTTCCTTCAACTCCTTCAGCTCGTTCTTGACTTTATCCACTTCCCCTACCACCCGATCCAGTCGAATCTACGGCATATGGCTCATCAATCACTGTTAGTTACAACTGTGTCACATCGTGCCTACTGTACTGTACTTGAACAGCTTTGGCACTCTGTATCGCATGTTTCTCGTGCCGCCGGGCTTCGTCCAACGCGGTGTGCGCATTGACCAACTAGCCACGATCATCATCTTGTCAGCACACTGATGTCCATTGTATGCCACCCACTTCGCCTTCGGTTCCCTTGTAGTTGGCTTCGAGGGCATTTCTACGATAAAGTACTAAATATCACATATTTCAAATGACATCGCTGTACTGGGTGGTTTTTTGCTTGGTCAATTGCATGTCGATTTGTTCGAGCTTTCGCACGAGGGCCACGTGGTCGGCTTTCATTTGATCCATTTGGTCGACCAATTTCCCCGTCGCCCGCTCCTACATACACGACAGAATGAAACAACTGGTGGTATGTCGTTGCTCATACCGTTGCTTTGTTGCTCTCGGTGATGGCAGCCACTTGCTCCTCGAGGTGCTGCAACGTGGCGGCTTGTTCTCGCCGCGCTTGGTCCACTGCCAACGAGTTTGACGACCTGTTCAAGGTGCTGTTTTGACTTTGAAGCAAGTTACTTCGACTCCCTGAATATTGTTTGCTGTCGACGCTAACGCTTTGATTTCGCTTCCCATGGTATTTGCTGTCGGGGGGGGTGGATGCTTGTGCCGCGTCGCCCCCTTGCAGATGAACTTTGGACGGCGATCGCTGAAGCACTTCGGCAGCGATGTTGGCCGATGCGTTCGTGGCGGACCCAATGTCACTTCCGGACGACGACACGCCAAGGGCATTCACGTGGACCGCCGCCTTGGACATAGCGCGACTGGCCACGCGGCCCCCCTCGTCGGAAGTCGGACCTGATTTGACCAGACGATTTACTTGGATGACGGCTTTCGACATGGCTCGAAGCGCACCCCGCGCCTCCTCGTGCGCTTTAAACGACGCAACATTGATGAGGTCATTTTGCTGTAGTAACGCGGACTGCAACCAAGGACATCGCAAAGGTGTGAGGGTGTTTGATGGTGAGATGCCGTAGCTACAGTAGTATGCCTACCTCCCGTGCAGCGAGGTTGCGGCTGCCCATGGCGGTGAATCTTGGCGAGTGATGACAGTTACATGTAACCGACCCTTCAAAGGGCTTCGCGCGCCCTGATATATGCGGGCTAGAGCCCGATCATTGCCCCTATTTAGAACTGCATCATCTCAGACTGCCCTCGAGGAGCTTACTCGTGGACATGGTTAATAGGCTGGCCCCTTTCATATCCGTCGAAACCTATCATTCATAGGTACAGTGCACATAACTGTAACGCAACGCATACTGCCATTTCGACAGACTAATCCAATACTATATTGGCATGAGGAGCAACATTTCGACAGACTAATCCAATACTATATTGGCATGAGGAGCAACTGTGCTCGGGCGTCGCTCACCCTCTACTGGGTACAGTAAGGGGATAGTCTTTCATTGTGCGGTTTGTCACACATTCAACTAGAACATGCATACAGTACTGTAGCTGTCAGGTGAATGGTTTTACTGTAGTGGGGTTGTCCATGTGTACATATTCTAGCCCCAGCAACATCCCTTGACGATTTTTCCAATGACAACATAGTACATATGATGGTCGAAACAGTGTAACGTTATGTACTTCATTCATACTACAGTCTGGAACAAAACTATAGCCGCACCCCAAAATTTTCAAGATGACATTTTTGTTTTTGTCCATTACAGAAGCCGCTAGTAACATTCGACGCATATTAAAAAATGATTACAATCTACACTTAGCATTACTATGGACGATCAATGGTATTTACAAAAAATGATAAAACGTGTATTTTAGTTGGTGCAAAACTATAGCCGCACTTGCGTTTTTCTACCATATTTCATGTAATAATGCTCTGTTTTAGCCGTAAAATAGGTTAAAATGACGCTGACGAACAGCCCATGACATGCATATGTTTCAACCACCCATTCGCAAACAACCCATGCCCTGGGGAACCAAACTGACCCCACAAGAGGTGGGCCAGGCCCAAGCCTACAAGTCACTTGGAAAGTCCAACCGGTGGATCGCCCAGGCCTTGCAAAGAAGCGAAAAGGCCATAAGGAACCTTTGAAGGCAGCAACGACAACCCAATCCAACGAAACGACCAGGGCGTCGCCTACTTTTTAAGCGGCGCGACATCCGACGCATATTCCGACTTGCAATTCACAAGCAGCAAACCTCGCGGAAGATTGCTGCCTCGTTGGACCCACAACCAAGCCACACCACAATCATTCGTATCCTTCGCAGCTCCAAGTTTGCAAAGTGTCGGAAAAGAAAGTCATGTCCACGCCTCACTCCCGCCCACAAAAAAGCACGATCGAATTTCGCAGCTAAGTACCTTAATAAATATGATCGTTGGCTCGCAACGATCTTTTCGGACGAAAAAAAGTTTAACTTAGATGGTCCCGATGGCTTTCAAAGCTACTGGCATGACTGTCGAGTCCCCCAAGAAATGTACTCCAAGCGCGTCGGTGGTGGCCGAAGTGTAATGGTGTGGGGGGCGTTTTCCAACGATGGAAAGAGTGAACTGGCCTTCCTACAAGGCAAACAAAACTCCATCAAGTACTGTGAGACATTGGCGACTTACCTGCTGCCATTTCTGGCGACCGTCCAAGAAAAGAACGTTGGAAAATCCGTCGTGTTCCAACAGGACAACGCGTCCATACACGTTTCAAGACATACCATGGCCTTTCTGCAAGCTGCAGATATTCCTACGATGGGTTGGCCCGCTCTGAGCCCCGATTTGAACCCAATCGAAAATGTCTGGGGTGTTTTGGCGCGCGCCGTTTACGCAAATGGACGTCAGTTCGACAATGTCGAAGATTTGAAGTGCAAAATTCAGTTTGAGTGGAACCGCATCACTCTCGCGTATTGCAGGACCCTCGTGGACAGCATGCCAACTCGCATGGCTCAAGTCATCTTGAAAAGGGGTGCCACAATCGACTATTAGTGCACATATTGTAAGTGCGGCTATAGTTTTGCACCAACTAAAATACACGTTTTATCATTTTTTGTAAATACCATTGAACGTCCATAGTAATTTAATGCTAAGTGTAGATTGTAATCATTTTTTAATATGCGTCGAATGGTACTAGCGGCTTCTGTAATGGACAAAAACAAAAATGTCAACTTGAAAATTTTGGGGTGCGGCTATAGTTTTGTTCCAGACTGTATTAATAGTACGTCGTAACCGTGTTCAAATGCTAAAGTCCCCCATAATGTAAAAGTATAATTTAAGTCAGATTATAATTCTACAATATGTTGCATATATATTGTATTGTCGATCTCTAACAACGTTAACTGGAAGTTACTGTGATTATAACTTAACAACATCATCCCATAAATATTGGATACCTAACGAATTAGTATTAATATTCATGGAACCATTATTTATCTTGGCCGTCCCACAATGAATAAATATTAATAATGAATTGTCCTCCGTCTACCGCACCAGCGAAGACGATCGTCGAGTCGAGTCGCCGAAGTACTGGTGCATGTTATCCCGGACGTACCGATCATTGCATCGGCCCAAGAAGAACATGGAGAGTTGGGCGGATAGCTTCATTTGCGGGTGGCATGGCGTGTCGTCGCGCAGAGAGCCGTCCTGGAGCGCGTCCATCGCTTCCTTGCTCTGGATGCTCGCGACGCCGCACCGGTAGAGCTCGGCTTCCACGAGCATGAGCATGCATGTGACACTGGGGAACATAAGGGGTCGGCACGCGAGCACGTCGTTATAGGCTTGGACGAGGGAGATCCGTTCCGATCGCATGAGGTAGTACACGGCAAGCGTCGGTGACGCCGACACGCCACTCACGCAGTTGATCAGGACCTTGCCGCCGGCCTTGCGCGCTTTCTTGAGGAATGCGTACGCGCCATCGAACGCATCGTGGAGGGATGCTGGAGGCACGTTCATGTACGTGATGCGCGGCATCGGGTGGGAAGGGCCGTTTTCGCAGATGGACATGACGTGGGTGATGCCCATCTTGCGAAGGACTTCCGGCTGGGACGCTTGCCAGACGTTGCCCAGGTAGAGGAAGCCTGGCACGACGTCGTTGGGAAAGGTGAGGGCGTGATGGGTGGTAGTGGAGGAATGTCCATGATGTGTGTGGATATTTCGGGGCAACGAGTCGATGGCCACCGTGGTCTTGACCGGCGTGGACAACGACGACACCGGATATGGATCCTTGCGGCCTGTGATCATGAACGGGTAGTCGCGCTGGAACGCTTGCATTCCGCCGCGAAGGAACTTGACGGACGTGACGGCACGCTCGTGAAGCAACAGTACCGCGAGCTGCATGGGCCACGACGACGGCGTGTACATGCCAAAGTGATCGTACAGCACCACGTCGGTGAGCTTTCGCTTGTTCCACGACCGTCGCGCCGTGTCGGTTAGCGGACAAACATCATCCACAGACGAGAGAAACAAGGGGGACGGCGACGCACCAGCGTTGGTGATGACGGTCACCATTGACGTCGATGTCACCAACGGCTGCGGCAGATTCATAAAGGACCAGATGTGACTGTGCTCGTAGCATTTGAAGCCGCGCGTGTCTACGAGGGTGAGTCCGCCTTGTGTCTGCAGGCGATTGAAGAGCCACTGCGGCGTCACTTGCTGGAGCGGCGGCAAGGACGCAGGTCTACTGAGCGACTCTGTCATAGCAAATGTCGAAATGGCATCGGACTGAAGTTGTTGGCTGCATATTCACCGGAGACCGCGCGGTGGAGATCCAGCGCAATTTGGTTCTCCAGTCGTTTTATTTTATTGCATACAAACAAGAGGTGGTTCCAAGTCAGAGGTATTTAATAGCCCCCGCACCTAAAACTCTGCGATTTCTTTGAAATCCCTTATAAAGTACTATGAACCACAGAGCTTCTTTATTTTCACGTGGGTGATTGGTGCAGAATTTACTTGAAAAGGGAATGCATACTCCTAAGGTCCTCTACAGATGGGATGAAGGGGAGGTGCAACATCCACGTCATGCCATTGAGCCGGACTCGACGGCGAGCCAAACGACAACATGCCGCCTTGATAGCAGCTAAGCGGAGGATTGCGGCAGCCATCGCAGTGGCAATATTAACCGGTGACGTCGACAGCGTCTACCGATACTGTAATGTTCATGTGGTTTTTACCGTGTAGAGTATATAGCCATATACATTTGGACTCCTCTGTAAAATTATGTAATCCTCTGTAAACTTATATAATTGGATTCGTACACTTGATTATTGTATGTCGATACTATCCGTATCCGGATACTGGCCTCGCCACTGTCCAAATCTATATACGTTACACGGGTACCATTAACGTTAACGTTACCATAACATTACGGTTGGGGACATTGGATTACAGGCCACGCACGAAACATGCAAGATTGTAGCGCCAGGACAGGCCGACTTACGGATGATATGTAAGTGTAGCGCACTGGTTGCTGGGGTCAGTCAGCCACACAAATTATCTCAAAACCTGCGGCGACTCGAACAGTAACGTTACGTAGTGGCAGTTCCGTCTGTGGTGGAACAAGCCAACGTGTTTTGCCGAGTGACGTCCGTGCTGAATGTATAATAAATACTACGTAGTACATGAGGAGAGAGCGGACCTATCAACAAGTCGAATATGTCCTGTATACACTGTACTGTCCCAAGTAGTTGTACTAGTACAGTATGTACCGGTACAGTCGCATGTCCAAAATGTTCAGTCACAACCCCGTGTCATTGACAATCAAACGTCATGTCATCCTGTTTCCTATTTCCATGGGATGAGATCGGCGTTCCGATGGCCCCGATCCAAGAGGACCCTAGTACATAGGCCCATGCAGCCAGAACATCGTGTTGACACCACGAATCGTCTTGCCTTACCATAACGTTAGAATATACTACGTAGTACCTAGTAATGCGGCTGTGGATGTACGGTACACTTGTGAGACCACTCCTACAAGATATCCAGATCGCCACGTGTTGTTGACATTTCAAAAATTGGAATCCCAGCCATCAATCACTACGCTACAAATGGCTGGCTTGGCTGGTAAAAAAACGACCTATTATTGACAGCATGCTTTCCTTGGTAACATACCCAGTCGACAATACTGTAGTGCAGTAAGCTATATTACGTGGGGGACTGTACGCCACTGTAACGTTATATAATCGATTGATTTCAATAAGGTAGTTAGTCGTCGCTGGGGAAATGAGATCCTGTCGTTTGGCACCTCGATGTCGACTCGTCACATCATGGAGCTGTGGCTGTTCGTGGGAAACCGTCGGCAGTTTCATCATCACAAAGGCCACCGTTTCATACGATCCACACCACAAACACCCCCGCGCGCCGCCTGCGTACTATATAGTCGAAAGGTACGTTTTATAAGTAAGTCATCATGGTACCGACGTCATTCTTACCCAGGGGAGCGTCATGTTCACTTCACCAGCAAGTGGAGGGGGGGGTGAGAGGAACAACAGCGTGATCACGGAAGAGGTTGGGGACGACGATAGTCCCTCTCGAAAAGCCAGCGTCGTGGGACAAGTCAAGCAACCAGTGGGCATCCCCGCAAGTCCCACTCAACCACACGACAATAGCTCATCAACCCTCACGAGGCAGTTTACACCCAGCAGCGTCCGACGCCCCACTGGGGCCAATGCCGACGTAGACAACAACCACGTAGACGACAGCCAAGGCACAATGGTCCTCCAGCGAGATGCCACGTTTCGGTACCACAAGGCCCAAATCCGAATCCTCCAAGATGAACTGGCGTCGTTGCTGGAAATGCGCACCAAAGTCGTACGTTCTATGGCCAAACACTGTTTGAAAATAGTACCTTGAAGAGAGAGATACACATACATATATATAACTATCAAGATCGTCATGTAGCAAGCCAAGCACGACGCGGCGGCAGACGAATTGGAACGCCGGCGGACCGACCTCGCCGCGTTCAGCGAACACGTGCAGCAAATGCAAGCGCTGTTGGACAAGAACAAAAGTCTCCAGTAACGTCGAGTCGTCTAGTTGGTTGACATTAGTAGAAACGTCTCATGTGATGCGAACGTGAAGGGACATTCAAGAAGCCAAGCAGCGGATGCTCGAGACCGATGTACGTCTACCGCTTTCTTTTGAACGTTGCTCAAGTGATCATGTGAGTGATGATAATATGATACACGGTAGATTGCGTCGGCAAAGGCGCAGGTGGCGACCACGCGGAAAAACGAAAAACTTCTCTTGCGGACAGCAAAAGTCACTGAAGTACGACGACTGGTTGTGTTGGAATTGGCGGTAGTTAAGGACATGGGACGGGGTATGGATAGGTGCGGCTACACGAAGGCACGGAAGCCTTGCAGGGGTTGAAGAAGGAGCTCGAGGACGAGCGGAGCAACCAGGGAGGCATGGCAGTGCCGCGCCACGAGCATGAGCGGCTTCTGAATCACCACCAACGCTTGGAAAAGCAAAAGGTGATGATCTCGTTTGATTTTTTCAATAGTTACTAAGATATTTCAATTCACTATGTTTAAAATTTTCACAAAGAAAAAGTTTTCTTTAGGAAATCTATATATTAAAATATATTAAAATATATAAATATTAGTACAAATTTAGGATTATGATTCCTACGCTCTACCAATTGAACGACATCTTTATTAAATATACTTAAAAGGCCATCGCGTAGGCAGACTTGATCGTTGCGTTCAAGCAGCAGATCCACTTGATCGACGTGTTAAAACGGCAAAAGATCCATTTGGAGGTACGCAAACGTCATGAGCATGTGACGTTAAACGAAAGCAACAACTAGTCGGCCAAAATGCTGTCGTTCATTGAAGACGAGTTCAGCGCGACGTTGGAACTTGGGGTGTAGCCCCTTGGACATATATGTTAAATGTAGTCGACGTGCAAAATCGAGTCTTGGACAAATTGGCCTAAAAACCCAAAGCCCTTGGTGTGCAGCGCCTCCAATTCCACTTTGTACGGGTCTGCGAGCCACAGGTCAATTTCGTGGCGATACTGCGGTTGCATCTGTAATAGGAATAAGTTAATTGGGAATCGAACAACCGATAGATACTGTATATACACGAGGTTGTTCTTACTTGGACAAAAGGATGCAGCATCAGCGACTTCATGCGCCGCTTGTCTTGGTTGGTGCATTTCTTCTTGACCACATTGGGCAATTCTAGTGCTTCAAGCTGGGATGGCCTCAACCCAAGCCATTGAATGTCCACCGCTAACGAATGGTTAGCATCCATCTGGAAAACAAAGTAGGAACACACCGTAGTGGATCGAGTCGAGAGGCATGCGGGCTGACCCAAACTTGTACGTGAGCTATCGGGGCCATTCAGTCCAAATCATCGAACGAATCTTATCCAACCAAGATGGACAGACCAAACGAGTTGCAATCGCACAACCCGAGCACGGGCACTTGGAGAAAATCGCTCAGCTTTTTCACAAAGCACCGCGTGGCAAGGTCCGGAAAGCCCTTCCCAGTCACCAAGATGCACGGCATCGCGTCAAAAAACAAGTCTTCGCTGGAAACACACCCGTGATAGTGGTGTGTGCGCTTCGTTCTGGGTTACCTTAGCCGGTTAAAGATGCCTACGACAACCAATATGAGCATGGAGGCAGATGGGTATGTACTGTACGCGCTCATAATACCATCTTTTTCAATGACCAGGATGAATCGGGCATCGCTGTCGCTACAGTATGGTATGACAGGGCAGTCGTCACAACAAGGACCGAGTACAAAAGATCACATTTGGTCGTGGTGCAATCGCAGAATGTCGCGAGTGATGGGTCGTCCACTGGGCCCATCCTTGGCACAATCGACCCATTGTCCGTTTTCCTACAATGGTATAGCAATACGTGGCATGTTCAACGTAATAATGGTCTACTTGGATGGACATTCGACCAGTGAAGCACCCTTTGACCCCGCCGACAATGTTCAAGCACTCCCGGGGCACGCCGAGAAAGCCTCCAGTATCTACCACCGACACCTGAGTAACAAAACGAAGTTCAGTATCGCCATACAGTACCCAAGATGCTTTCGTCGGCCTCTTTTTGAGACTCGAAGAACGGGTGCAAGTAATACAGTTCCCGTTGGGTGATGGACTTGTCCTCCAGGAGCAATTGGTGTGCGGTCTGGAGGACAAGCCATATGCCAGTGTATTTCCGAGCCCCTTGGGAGTTCTCCAAGGGTGTGAAGTGACACCGATATTAAAGGTTGTTACCAATCGAATCGTTCGCATGTTTCCCCCATGCGAAAGCACCTGGGACTCGCTGTCGAATTCCAAGGCGCTTGAACTACGACGGATCTGTATGCACATCCATCAGTCAAGGCGAATCCCCAATGCACAGTGAGGACAAATGTCATGAATACCGTCTGGAGTGAAGTCATCTCATCCATCTAGCACAAGTACGTCCTCATTTGGCTACACTCTTGAGCGGATCACAGGTAATGCCTACCATCAAGTCTTCCAGGAATGTCGTCGCCGCTTGCTCGATACGACGCAATACCTTCATGGTCATGAGTCATCTCCTCGCACGTGTGCGCGAATCCTCGGACGTACCATTTCCCGCGATAGATCCACGCGCGCCGCTGACGTCTGTTCCATATCGTTCCTCCTTGCGCGCGCTTTTGATAAATTTAAAATTGGACTTTTTTTTTCGTTTTGACGAATGTTTGAAAATTTTACAGATATTTATAGCCAAATTCTCAACTCTTCAACAACACAACGAGAGAGATATGTAGGGTGGCGAGGCGGCGAAATCTCCTGTCATGAGGAGGTTGCACAGCTATCCTTCCATCATGAGGCGTATGCCGCGGAAGACATCGGCTTTGCCGACGAGTATGCATCTCAGGCAACGCCTTGGATAGGCGGCATGACTCTACGCGAGCGCACATGCATACATCTGCGCCGCATCAGTCACGCATTCCACCTAGTGTACATACTGTATGTATGCATGTACAGTACTGTATACTATATCGGTTCGATAGTTTGCTTCAGGATATCCGGATAAGGGATGAGATTTTGTAGCACTGTAACAGGCGCGTGTAATATGAGCCTATTGGGTATTTTAATTTGCCGTGTACTTGATTTTCTATTGAACGAGTAATAAAATTACAGCAAATTGTGTGTTTTGACTAGGCAAATATGATGTGTACAACATGTGAACTCCATTGTTGCTTTGACCACATCAACCATCAGTGTATGATGCGCTTCGACATGTCCGAAAGCTCCAGTTCCTCCACGTCTTCCGCGTCCTTGACCCAGTACACGCCGTCCACTACCCCGTCGTGGTTTGACGCGTCCATGCTACACGACTTCAATATCTCGCTTTCCCACGTCACGGGACCGTCCCGGTCGCCTGAGTTCATCCTCAATGCGTCGCTGGTTGCGTTTGGCCAAGGCAGTCGGTACTACGTGTCCAAGTCGTACTCGTCACTTCGTCGATTCCGACGAGCTATTCTTCGCGCGATTGCCACTACCGCCCGCAGAGATGGAAGTTGCACTTGTCAAGGGTCAGCGTGTGCATTTGCGGGTGTCGGCGACGCCTACCTTCGCCCCCACGCCCTCAGATGCCTGGATGTTCTCGGATTTGGTGTGTATGGATCATCCGAACGACGACAGGACGAAGTCACAGCTTTCGTGGCCGCAGTCGTGGCAACCATGCAAGGAGTCGACAAGGCGCGGTGGTCGGACCAGTGCCTGTTCCTGCAACTCATCGCGTACTTCTTCGATACAGCAGCCCAGGCGTCTTGCAAATCCTTGAAAATGGCTCGAAGCCAGCGTATGAACCTGTCGCTCCACGGGTGGCACCTCAACCGCACCCAAACCTATGGCGCCGGGATCACGTACGACTAGGATCGATCTTTCCAAGTAGTAATGCCAGAATTATTTATCTTATTGCACCATCCCGTTCCAGCAACTCAACCTCGCCTGAGAACGTGCAACTGTGACACAAGTCATGCAATAGTATGACGTGGCACGACGACGAGGGGGCAACGTGGTCACGGCGACAAAGTTTGCCGACTAAACCTGCTATACCTTACTGTCATGTAACGTTATTTGTGTCAGCGGTTTTTGGCTTTTTCCATAAGCCGCTGAAATATCAGCGACTTTTTGCCTTCACTGACATTGGTTAATAACAGAGAAAAATCAACCAATGATGCGTCCTAAAATTCATTGTCCATTTTCAGCTCTATGACAGAGGAGCGCAGAAAATTGTTGTCGCGTAGTGGCTGTGGTAGCCAAATGTTCAGGCGGCGAGTGGCGAAACGACGTAGAGTAGATATAGCGCATGAGAACTATGTATCTACGCAAGTCAGTCGTAAGTCGGCGGCTTGGAAATATAGGCTGCCACGCTAATGGCGCACCGATAAAGGTCAAACCGACCGAAAATGCTATGTGTTTCAACCTTGTGCGTCGGTGTGACCTTCTCCTTCCCGAAGGAGTCGTGCAGTCATCACTACTAACTCTAGGCATGCGCAACCCATAAGATCAACGCCTAGCTAACCTGAAATCAGTTTACAATACACAGAGCCTAGGGTTCAGTACAAGTAGGAGGTCGCGCGGGAGGGGCATGTTTACAGCGTTCGATGCGTTGTGTGTGCAGCTACCCTCGACATGGAAATGACTTACCACAGCCGTGCTTCACATGGGTTAAGTTCTCCCGTCGAGGACCTACCAGTACACACCGGAGTGGAGTGACGAACCACCGGCACCCGACAAGGGCGTGCTTTGGGCGTACTCCTGCGAAATTTTGGTTTGCAACCAACAA